TTTTAATCCGACCATCATCGCCAACTTTTCTGTAAAAGATGTCTTTTTTACTTGAGAGTCTTCTTTCACCGTTTCCTCGGTGTTGCCTATTGCATCTTCCACATTGCCTATTGGTGAGAACTCTATGGGATTCGGGTTCGGTTCTTCTGCTTTGGGCATTGGGGTTGACTCCGTCGCCATTTTCCCTGTTTCATCCACACTTTGATCGGGTGTCTCTAGATCAATCTCGATGGTGGGTTCTACTCGTTCCCCTTCCGTGCCCTCTTTTGCTCTGTTCTCCGTTGTACTCCTTGTGCTGACCATATTAACTGAAAAGCTCTTCTTTGTTATCTTCGGACCCATTGATGTTGTTTTGCGTAGCAACGAATTATACTTTGTCTTTGCTTCGGTAGATCTTTTTTCAGCTACCGGTACCCTGCTCCGCCTCATTATTTACAATTTTTATTATTTACAGTATTATTATCTACAAAATTTCTACTCTAAGGTTAAAACTCTAAGTAAAAAGAAATTGACAATTCGCTAAAAACAATTTTTCTTAAACTCTTGAAAACTTTTATGTGTTAGGTTAGGATAGGGAATGTGTTGTTATAATTGGTTACTTCAACCTAAGTTAGTACTCTTGAAGTACCCCCTTCCTAATACTGTTCCAAGACTTTCTCTCTACCGTACCAAGACTATTCAGTGTTATCCCAGTACTTCTTATTGGTATCCTCAGACCAATGTCCCAAGACCAACGTCCCTAGACCAACGTCCCAAGACCAACGTCCCAAGACTAACGTCCCGAGACCAATGTCCCAAGACTAACGTCCCAAGACTAATGTCCCAAGACCAATGGCCCAAGACCAACGTCCCAAGACCAATGGCCCAAGACTAATACCCCAAGACTAACGTCCCAAGACCAATGGCCCAAGACCAACGTCCCAAGACTAATGTCCCAAGACCAATGGCCCAAGACTAATGTCCCAAGACCAATGGCCCAAGACCAACGTCCCAAGACTAATGTCCCAAGACCAATGGCCCAAGACCAACGTCCCAAGACTAATGTCCCAAGACTAATGTCCCAAGACTAACGTCCCAAGACCAATGGCCCAAGACCAACGTCCCAAGACTAATGTCCCAAGACCAACGTCCCAAGACTAACGTCCCAAGACCAATGGCCCAAGACTGTTTTGTACCAAGACTGCTCTGGCCCAAGACTGCCCCAAGGCTGCACTGTCCCAAGACTGTGTTGCCCCAAGACTGTCCCCAGACTGCAATGTCCCAAGACTTCTTCGGTACTGTCCCAAGACTCGTCACTGAGTGTCTGGATATCGGATCTCTTTCTTCTTCGTTGTAGGGACTTCTTGATTCACTGTACCTTGTACCACCACTCAAGCTCTAGTGAAAATCCCAAAAACCCTCTCTTAATGGCCAAATGCTAACCCCCCTTTTTGAATTACCTCTTTTTCTATGTTCCAAGCAACTTGAAACCAAAACCTGTGCGCAGGTATCTTGTGATCACCTGTTCGTATAAAAACCAATCGCAAATCCTCACCAAAATGCAACAATAAATAAAAAAAAAAATTTTAAACAAGAAAAAATAATAAAACAGAGAAATCAACCAACCTAAAATTCAAAGGAGACAAATGTCGACCTTCTGTCGAAAAAAAATGTCTGGTACCTAACTGCCACGCGTTTTCCTCCCCCCACTAGCGATCTTATGGGGTATCACAAAAACTGTCTATATCCGTTCCCCCCTACCAATCCAACCAGCGTACCAATCTAAACTCGAGTTAAATTTTGGATATCCACCTATTATTACCAACGCGTGTTGATGGCTAATGTAACTAAATCAACGATGTCGATTAATTAGTTACTCTAATTTCCCCCCTTTTTACAATTTACAACCGCCAACCTCTAACCTAACCAGCCCCCCTACTAACCTCCCCCCTCTTTAGCCCCCCTCTTAAGCCGAAAAATCCCTTAAGCGCCGGGTGCTAAACCTCTCGAGAGAAAACCGTAGACCTGTTTCCAGGCCTGCTTGAGTAAAAACTGCCTCAAAACAATGGGATTCCGCTTATCCAATTTTACACTTATTTCCTATAATGTAATGTGGATTCTAACGATACCCGTTGTTCGACTTGAGAACACCCCTGTGCGTCCTCTTGTAGTGGTCCTGTGCTGGTTGTCTCTGTTCTGCACTTGACAGCAGAACCACTTTCCCACTCGACTGGTCACTTCTTCCAATCAAGTCTCCTAGTGGTCCGTTTCGATCCTTGTGAACCACTTTCCCACTCGACTGGTCACCCTTTCCAGTCAAGTCTCCTAGTGGTCCGGTTGGGTCGCAATCTATCTGAAAACCCTTAACAACGCCCCCCACTCGGGCACCTTACTGAAGTCACTGGTTTAAATTGCTAGATTGATCGAAACGATCGGTTTTATAAAACAGTATGTGTATACTATTTAATTAATACAAAGGTTTGATCCAACTAATTTGGTATCAAAGTCACTGTCTTTTTTCGTTTTATGGTTTTTGTTCCTTTTTGTATTCTTTTTTGCTCGTGTTTTTGTCCCCCTAGTTGCCCCCCTTCACTCGGTTAGCTAAACCTCGTTCGGAGAGCGTACCAGGAAGTTTTCTTGAGTTTTCCTAAAAAGCTATCACGGTACAACCGGAAGGCTTACACGTTCCCGCTGAACCGTACCACCGGTACTCTAGAATGGGCATGTAGCCCGGAGCTGTGTCAAGTGGGTTCGACTCCGTAGTCATGATGTCGTAAAAACACCCAGGAGCGCCATAAAAACACTATGTAACATTCGTCTACTGTAGTCACACATGAGGCTTAAGAAAAATAGGCCCTATAACCATTGGCTCAAGAGTCAGGGACACTATCTCTTGTGTTTTTCTACCTAAAGAACGGTCGGAGCCAATTCGGTTCGCTTGCGACATGAGACTGGAACCCGTTACAGCTTAAAGGCCACTACCAGAATACCCCCCCACTCTAGAAATAAAAACGTCCCCATACTTAGGTCTCGAAATACCCAAAATACATGAACGCCGTTAAAAACCGGGTCGGAACAATCCGCTTAGTTACTTTTTATTAGACAGTGGAACTTTGATCGATTTCAGATGGATCAACCTAAAACTCGCCTTATCTCAACATAACTATCATAAAATACACTCGAGAAATTTAAATTGAGAACTCACATGTCGATGCACTTGAGTATGAGGAGTTACTAAAAGATAAGCAGCTCGAGAATCAAATAATATAACTAAATAAGTTTGATGCTAATTAGTTTTAACCACAGAAGTAAGTTCTGTCTCAAGAATCAAAGTTTCTGCATGAACCATCGGGACACTTGAGTTGTCCTCTCTTCCATTTGAATAATCGTCCTTTCTCAAGTCTGTGTTCTATTCTCCAGTTTTCGGGATAAGACAGCTCTACCCTCTTATTATTTCGTATCGAGAAATTGCGAATAGCAATTTCCTGCCTTTTTCTTGAGTAGTTTCCCGCAATTGTTAATTCGGACGTTCTGATTTTTCACTTTTTGTTTTCAGTTGGTTCGAGAAAACTGAGCATGACAGGCTCCATTCGAAATTTTTAAAATTAAAACTTCACTCCAAAATTACGTGTTTCTCAAGGTCAAACCTCCAGACATGACCGACTGGCACATTTTGACCACATATCATAGCTGTGATCTCTCTTATCGAACGTCTATCCATTTTCTCTTGAGATCTGACTACTCGAATTTTTCAGTGTCGTCGTGCACGAATCACCTCTTAAAAAGATTTTATGAGCAAATTTGGCTTGTGATGTTTCTATCTGCAGGTCGATTGGAACAACATTGCAAATAATTTCCAGTTTCTCTTCTGCGTGCGGGTATTGAGATGCCGTCGCTTCATGCAACATCCGGTACCACAAACTGTTGTTTCTAAACCATGAAGATTCCGACCAAATATGAGCAAGATAAGTCCACCGATGTTAGAAAGACCACCGAAAGAACTGGCTTTGGTAGAGACGGTGAAAAGCACGTAGAGCTTTGTTTAGACGCTGGCCAGTCGTTTTATAGCTTAGCTTTATTTTCCGTCGACATGTACTACCGGGCGAATGTTACATCTAGGGCATATATCTGAAAATACACAGTTTGTATACGGCGAAAGGAAATCTATTTAATAAGGTTATCACAACAATAAGTAATGACTTAAATAGTAATTACTTTGTCGACCCGATGTTAATGGGCCACACATTGAACTGGCTTTGGTAGAGACGGTTAAAAGCATGCGAAGCTGTGTTTAGACGCTAGCCAGTCGTTTCATAACCTATTTTTTTTTTCCGTCGGTATGTACTTCTGTTGAATGTTACATTGCTGTTTATTTTCTGGGCGAATGTTACACCTTTTGGCGGCTAGAGTATAGTTTTTTGGTCCGCCAGATCCGTCATAAAAGCAGTGGAGAAAATAACACTTAAATTCAGTCCTATAAGACTTAAAATCAGCCTACCTATATTATTTCGGCTTAGTGCCCACATTTTGCGTCGTTCGGCGAGCGAAAAAGTTAGTTCGTGTGTTTTGAGAGTGCGGGGACCTAATAACTTTTTGTTAGTCTCTAAATGTGTGTCCTTAATTTTATGTGTCATTTAATTTTTGAATTATTGTTCAGCTTTTTCTTAATTGTTTTTTTTTTGGTTTAATAGGTTTCGGACTGTATTATATCGGCTTAGTGGCCTGGAGGGTGTGGGAAACTAATTTTGTTTATGTCTAATGCAGCGTTTTTTTTTGGGGTTTCTGCTTAGGTATTTTTGGCTTTGTTACCGCTTGCTATATTTTCTTCAGATGCTTATTTCACATTCTATTGCCTTGTGATATTTTTTCTGTTTGAAAAATAGTGTGATTTATTTTGATAGATCTAGTTTTTCCACTTTCGATTTTTTTTTCGACGTCTATCGCAAGTGATGGGAAACTCAGTTGCGCCGTTTAAATTTTCATATGTTATGCAATCATAAATTGTTCTTGGCTGTTTTTCAAGTCAAAAATGCAAGACCCGAACGAAGACACCGAATGGAACGATGTTCTCAGAGCCAAAGGAATTATACCTCCTAAGGAACCTGAGATCACAGAAGATCAAATTGCTGATATGATTGATCAAGCTGTCGAGAAACATGCTAAGGGAGGAAAGGACATGGATGAAATGGATCTAGCTGAGCTTGACGAGATAGAGGATGACATAACTGAAGAAGACGAAAAAGCTTTTGAAGAGTACAGAAGGAAGCGTATGGCTGAGCTGCAGGTACTTTAAGAGCCTTCTTTATGCAATCTGAGTCCAGACAAAATGTGACGTAAAGTGGTCTATACCAACAGAACATACTTCATTTTATCCATGTAAACGTAGGACCTCGCAACTGACTTAGTTTCGTTTCAGGCAATGTCATCAAAGCCCCGATTTGGGTCGGTAGTAGAAATATCTGGCCAAGACTGGGTGCAGGCCATCAACAAGGCTGGCGAAGACATCTGGGTTGTTGTACATTTGTACAAGAATGGAATTGAATTATGCAACATATTGAATCATCGTTTTGTAGAGCTTGCACAAAAGTTTCCGTTCACAAAGTTCATCAAAGCTGTTGCAACTACATGTATTCCAAGCTACCCTGAAAACAACTTGCCAACAATTTTCATCTATCTGAATGGCGAAATGAAGGTACGATTCATAGTTGAAACCTTTTTCTCCTTTACCTTGGACCGCTTTTTGCCGGACTTTTTTTGTAGATTATTATGAAGCTCGTTAAATTGTACTCAAAAAGCTAAGCGTGAAGTAAATTTTTCCAACCGAAGTTCAACCGCTCGCTCATAATATGGTATGATTTTTTGTAGGAGAAAATCATCGGTCGAGATAGCTTCCCTTCTGGAAAAGTAACTCTTGAAGACACTGAATGGATTCTGAGCCAAACCGGCTGCATTGAAACGGATTTGTCAGAAAATCCAAGAAAGCCAATAGAAGACGTCCTCTCCAAAACTATCTATTAATAAATGAGGAATTAACACTCTTTAATTTTTATACGCGCATGTATTTTCACCTCAATTTTCTTATGTCTTAAAAAATTGCTAAGCTAATTTATTAATTTTACGTGCCTTCAGAATGGCGGAATATAATTGTCCTAAATTCATATTGAAAACTTAATTTATGATCACAAAAAACGTAGTCGAAAAGTGAAGTAGAAAATACCAAGTCAGCTTCAATGATAGGTTTTTTAATGTTTTTATCATAGGGACAAAAACTGATATACAAAAAAGTGTGTATGAAGCTTGTGTATATGAAACGTCTACACCTATAATTTGTGTAGATGAACCAAAGTCTTTTTTCTTTCAAAAGTGTCTTCTCCATTTTTTCAAAAGTGTCTTTTAAAAAAAGGCGCTTAGTATTTAAGTCTTGAATAGTAAGAACAGTGTTGCATAGAAAGTTTTTTCGAATTATCATAAATCTTACGAGATTTCGAATTTTCAAATCATTACAACGCTCGAAAGGCGCAAGTGAGAGCCCTGACGCGGTTTTCGTCGCGCGTATTCAGCTGCGGTTGTTTCTGGGGCATGTATACGGCTTCAACGGCAGGTAAAATATTAGCGCTAGTCGATGAGAACACATTTTTCATTTCTTCGACCTGAATTGGTCCTTTGATGCCGCAAAGTCTGAGGTGTTAGCAGGGGCGGATCTAGGATTTTTTCGAGGGGGGGGCGGATTTTCAAAAATTTTTCGAAAATTTTGACGACCTTTTTTTTTTAGGTCGACCAAATAGATTTTCCGAGCTGTTCTAAAGCACTAAAAGGTCCCTGTTTTTGCCAAATTTTCAGCGGCGCAGGCAAATTTTTGAAAAAACAGGTCAAAAAAGCCGTTTTTAGGCACTTTTCGAAAAATTTTGACAAAAAAATCGCGTTTTTTTGGCGCGCGCTCCCCCTCAAAGTTAGTATATATTGGCGCCTTTAGAAAATTTTTAGGGTCGGTCGGCAAAAAATGGATTTCTTAAAAAGTACCAAAGGGGGGACCCTTTGGGTCGGCAGGGGGTCGAATCCCTGAGGGGGGGGGCGTCCCCCCCGCCCCCTCCCTAAATCCGCCCCTGGGTGTTAGTATATTAAGCTTTGAAGTATTAACACTTTCCCCTTGAAATAAAAAAACTCTAGAAAAAATTTGAAAAAAAAAACAGATATGATCAGACCACCGTCGGCTAGAAAGCACTGTGGCGTAGAAAGATTTTCACTGTAGCGGATCAAAGTTTTCAAGGAAAGCGCGCAATGTTGAAGCCCTACTTGTTCCTTTTCGGATTCCAAGAGAAATGTCGAAAGAAGGAATATTGGTTATTCAGAGATAAATTATGCAAAAATTGGATGAAAGTAAGTGTCCATCTACAGGACGCGATTGTTTGTGCTTTCCGTTTTGACAACATTTTGTTAAGGAGCTCGAGTGTTTATCGAAATATTACTCCATATAAATAATGGTTTGCTGTTTTTTTTTGCAGAGTAGCTACCAAGATGAAATTTATTCACACTTATTTTTTGTTCTGCTGGTGCCGCCTATGAATATTGGTTTTCAATCTGTTGAAATTGATTTTTCACAAAATGGTCGTTTTTATGACTGATTTTTCCTTATTATTGTTTCAACTATTTGAAAAATGCGGATGAACTTTGTATTCGGGTGTGTTTCAGTTACCACAAATAATTATCGGAATGGGTTGATTACACAAGTCAGCTTGCAAGCGTTTGTTGTATTAGTAAGAACCTTTTTTTCTACTTAACTCGCAAATAAGAGTATTCATTGAAAGTGTTCACTTAAATGGAAATTTCACTTTAGCATTGGAAATTGCATTGCATCTGTTCTCTGTTTTACTTTTGGCAAGTGTTTGTCATGAATGAAGTGTCCGTGGCTGAGTGGTTAGTGCGAGAGATTTAAAATGTCTAGATCGCAGTATGTCTTAGGTTCGAATCCGAGACGAAGCCGAATTTTTACTAATTCGAGGCTTGTTTATACAGTTTCCTTTTATAGAGCTGCTTTATCCGAGACCAAGCCGAGTTTTTACTAATTCGAAGCTTGTTTATAAATTTTCCTTTTATAGAGCACTTTATAGAGCTGCTTTTTGTCGTGTTCTCGCTGGCGTTTTTGAAGCGCAGCTTTGTCTCTAAGTTTATATATCATTTTATAGCACTTTCAGTCGTGGTTCGAATGCTATTTTAAAAAATATAATTTTTTTCTCAATGTCGAAAAAACCGGTTTGATTTTTTTGATGTTTGATCTAATTTAGAGCTAATAAGGTCAGCGTGAAGGCTTAAAATAGCGTTAAAGCTCGAAAAAAGTTAATTTATGGCGTTTTTAGTCCCATTTTTGCTATCAAAAATTTCAAAAGTTCCACAACACAGAAAAGAACGACGCTCATTTGAAACCAGCGAGCTGCGGACGTGACTGGGCATGTTAGGAAAAAAATTGCTGTCGAAGAACTGCATTTCGGCATCCAATCTGATTTCGCAGGAGCCCACCCTAATAAGTGGAAAGTAGGGGGCTGATTGCAATTTTTTTCGATGCATCGAGTGGTCATAAAATCGCAATGAAGAAAAAATACCGCGAGTTAAATGAAAATATTTTAAATTTTCTCTGTTTACGGTGACAAAACTGATCAGTAATTTTTAAGAGCATTGTCTAGTTTGATCAGTTAATAAGGAATTCAAGTTTTTTAGCTATCCCGACCCACTGAGTCTGGAGGCAACGAAAACGCGTGGGACGGCAAAGGTCCTGAATCGAAGTTTTTTTCGAACGGGTAGTATTTAGTTTCAAATAAAATGTTCGGCCTATTAATTGTCTGCTTATGTTTTTTTCGGCCTTGTTACCATATTTTTGAATCGTTTTTATTGCTGCACGCGTGATTCATTCGTTTTGCTTGCAGTGTTTTGATTTACTACTGGAATTTATAATTTTTTAAACTTTTTTTCGTAGTTCCTTTCATTGTTTCGCTCAAGACTTTACGGCCCAAATTATAACGGCCTAATTTTGGGTCATATCAAGGGAAAGACAAATTTAATGCTCTTTTTCCTTTTTTTCTGTTGGTCATAATTTCATCAGCTCGGTTCGTAAAAAAATTCATTTTTTTGTTGACTTAATAGGTTTCGGCGTATTTTGTATTGGCTTTTGAGTCTGAACTCTCAACCCTGTAGTTGGGTGCGGTGCTGTCAAGGTACTCTCGGAGGTTGTAATTGTTACCTCCAAATGTGACTGCTCAAATTCTTCAAGTTTTCGATATGACTCCTTTATGATTTTTTCAAAAAGTTCTAAAAAAAACTTAGACATAAAAAGTTTCACGGAGTTTTAATTTCCAACCCTGTAGGTGATTGCTGTCAAGGTAATCTCGCTGGTTCAGATAACATAGGCTCAAATAAATTTCCATAATTTGAATTTCTCGAACCTATAGTCGGGTGCTGTCGAATTACTCTCAGGGGTTGCAAATCTTGCCTCCAAATGTGACTGCTCAAATTTTTTTTAGTTTTGTTTCTTTGAACTTGGATATGAAAAAAATTACAAATTTTAAAATTTAAAAATCTGTAGTCGTGTGCTGACACTACTCTTAGGGGTTGCAAATCTTGCTCCCAAATGTGGCTGCTCCCAAATGTGGTCGTTTAAGCTTTAGAGAAATGACGTCTTCACAATTTTGCAGAAACTTAGATGTTAAAAAAAATTCTAAAATTTCGAAATTCTCAAATCTGTATCTGGGTGCTTTCAGGGCACTCTCACGGGTTTCGAATCTTGCTTTCAATTATCATTGCTCACATCCTCGTAGTTTTCGAGGTATGACGTTTTTCAAGATTTCTTAAGTTTTCAGAGAACATAGATTTCAAAAAAAACTTTGAAATTTACAACCCTGTAGTTGGGTACTGTGATGGAAATCTCTGGATTTGCAAATGTTGTCTCTTATTGTGACTGCTCAAATGCTTTTAGTTTCCGAGATGTGACATTTTTATTATCTTAAGATATAAAAACACTTCAAAAAATTTGAAGTTCAAATCTCTATAATAAGGCCCTGTCAGGGTACTCTCAGGGCTTGCAAGTTTGCCTCCAAAAATGACTGCTTCAAACCTTGTAATTTTCGATATAAAACGTTTCTATGATTTTTCTAAAATTTTCAGTAAACTTTAGATTTTAAAAAAAATTGAAAAACTCTCAACCCTATTGTTGGGTACTGTGAGGGTTGTTATCTTTGCGTCCAAACGCGACTGCTCAATTGCTTTTGTTTTCCGAGATGTGACGTTTTTTATGACTTTTTCGAAATTTTTCAAAGAATTTCTTTAACAAAGATCACAAAATTTGAAATTCTCAAACTTATAATGAGACATCATAGTTGTCAGGGTGTTCTCAAGCGTTGTCAAACTTGCCTCGAAATGGGGTTGCTCAAATTGTTTTAGTTTTTGATATATGAAGTTTCTTTTGATTTTTTCAAAAATTTTGAAAGCTTAAATTCAAAAAATTCATGTATTTTAAAATTCTCAACCCTGTAATTTGGTGCTTTCAGTGTACACTTAGAGGTTCCAGATCTTCTTTCCACTGTATGCCATTTTTTATGTTTTGTCGAAAATTCGAAGCACCAGAGTCCATCATAACCTTAATGTTAGCTCCCGCTGCCGATCTTCTCTGGCGTTCAGCTTCGGGCGTAACCTCGCTATGTGGATAGCTTGAGGCGTTAATAACTTCGAGCTGTCAGAACAGGCGTCATTGATCTTGAACTGTAGGATACACGTTTTTACCAACTGACTGTTATCAATGTTGTTACCGTGGGAACTTCAAAAAAATTTGGCATGAGTATCTGCTCAGGAGTTTTCGACTTTATTACCGCTTGATTAGTTTTGTTCCGAAGCTGATGTTTCATTCCATTGTCACGAAATGTTTTTTTTTTCACTACAGTCTTTATTAATTTTGACAGATCTAGTTATATCACAATTGGTGCGAAGCTCAGCTTCGTCTTTGTGTTTAAAATTCAAATCCTTCGTAATTTTTTTATCAGCTTTTTCTGAAAAGTCTTTTCTTTACAGGCTCCCTGAAAACGTACCATACGCAAGTTTTTGACTGCAGTAGCATCATAATCCAGGATAATCGCCCTTTTGTCGTGATGCTATGCTGGGACTAGGGGCAGGGTTCTTTGGCCAAAATTTAAAAAAGCTGATCAAAGCGATCGGGGTTAAACTTTATGTGCGAAAATAATTATAAGATTGAATAATTTTTAGCTTTTTTGGCCTTCATAAAACCTTTTTAATTCTGTACCAGCTCAAAATGTCTGAAAAATTACGCCATTTTTAATCAAAGAACGTTTCATTAATTGAGACACTTTGAAGTTCATTGAAAGGGAGTTTGTTTTTGATTCGCTTCATTTTACCAATTTGAATGATTAGGGCAAGGTCATTTCTGTTCAAAACGGACGCGGATGAGGTAGCGCAAAACTGGCTGGCTATAAATGGCAATAACTTTAATCGCTTCATTTTTTGATATTTACCGTAGTCCTCTTTGCAGTAATTTTTTTTCGTTTTGGATTAAAGTATTGCTTATTTTTAATGATAATGATTTTTGGATCGTGCTGACATGCTTAAAGTTTTCTAGAGAAATTTTCGAAAAAATTGTTTTTGACAAAAGGGTTTCTACTTGGAGCTTCCAATTATTTTTTGTCGCGTGCTCTTAGTTGGACTCAGCTGAAACAGATGAAATCTTTTTTTTTCGATGAAGTTTGGCACTTTTTGCATGAAAGTAGAGTTTTCAGCTAATTATCGTTTTCTGCGAGCATCTCATTTAATCGCACGCTGAAAACTGTCCTAAAAAGTTAACAGTTTGGCAATAGCAATAATTGGATTATCTTCAAATGTTAGAGTCAATGAACGAAGTGAAGTCACTTGACAAATAGGTCGTTTTTTTCCAGGTTAGTTTTGTGACCACGCTCAATTTTTTTGCGATTTGACTTCGATTTCTTTCTAAGTTTAATTCAAACTCATTTGCTAAAAAGAAAGTTAACCATGCTCTTCAGTTTCGAATTTGCAATTGGCGCGAATGTAATTTGAGTGTCTAGAGGTAATTGTAATATAAAGAGTTCCCACCGGAATGAAAAAGATTTTCCTCTTGACTCTACTTTATCTAATTGGAAAAGTTATACGAAAAATCATTTATTTTTTAAATTTCAAATATCTATCTTTTTGTCGAAAATTGAAAATGTATGCATGGCATGCAGTTTGTTTTGAAACCGAAGGGACTGCCGTTTGTTTCAAAACTCTTCCCTTAATTGTTTTTAATGAACATATTTGTTGATGCATACAGTTTGTAGTTTAGAATCTTCGCATATTTTTTATCGCAGTTACGAATGTTGTCCGGAATACATGGACTTCAATACGTTCGTTATGAAGTACATTTCGTGAATCTAGTTGGTTATATTACAGAATTCATCTTTGTTTCGAACCGACCACTCGAATAGCGGATAGGAACTATAGCGCAGGGTCCTATTTAAATTTTTTTGTCTCAATTTGACTGCCTCAAGGAAAGCTCGTTTAGGGTCAAATGTGGTATCTTACCAAAGCAATATGAGTTGCGATTCACATTTATAAAAAACTTAGTTTCAATAAAAGCATTGATAAAAATTAGTTTCTAAACTTAGGTTTTCGGATTTTATTAGACAATTTCTGATGTTCTGTTGTAAATTTTACCTCATTTCAGTTTTGTTTCCCTTATTCAATGAAGCTTTCTAAAAAAACAATAAACAGGAGTTTTGGACCAAAAAATGATCTTAAAAAAAGTTGCTTTATTTAGTTTTTTTTTAATCAGTGCGGTCGGATCATTCTGTGCTACTTGCACAGCAACCGGCTATCCGTGTATTTTAAAAGACTAGTCTTTTCTTGAGATTTGCTCGTGAGATTTCATTAAGGAAAAAATAACTGACAATTTTCAGATATAAATGGACAAAAATGGGTTTATCGCCATCGAAACTCAAATAGCTGATGATTCCAGCGAGCAACCAAGACTCATCTATTTTTTGTAATATTTGTGCAATGTAGTTCAGTTCGCATTAAAGAGGGGCTTCCTTTAAACTTGACATGGGGATAGCAGAAACGGCCCTGTGTGTGTTGGACTTCCAGTGTGTTGGTGACAATGTACTGCCTGTCTTGCCATCTTCTTACCAGCGAAAGTAAGTTATTGTTTTCTTGTGACTGTTTATTTTTTGTTGTAGAAGTTTTAAGTGTCATTGCCTAGTTGATGGTTAAGATGTTGAAGGTTAAATGTCATTCGAACCTATATGATTATGTTGACGTTTAATTAGAGATATTTTCTCTTTAGTACTTCATCGGTAGGACAAATATATTTCTCTCATTTTTCTAGGAGTTTTTTGTTCCCTATTTTGTTTCTGAGAAAGTAAATTGACAAATGAAGCAATACTCGTTTTTAAGGCGGTAATGATTGTGTCTAATACTTTTGCACTTGCTATAAACAATGTTGTCGACACTTTTTTCGCGGATAGCAAGTTATTAACTTATCAATGAACAATAAGACTTAGTCTTTATAAAAAAAGGAGGCCTTTCCTTACTTTCTTCCAAAGAGTTTGCTGACTATACGGTTTTCACGCTGGCTGCTTTTCCTTACTTTCTTCTAGTGAATTTGCTGACCAAAAAGTTCTTCCCAAGCTATTTAGTTGTCAATCTTTCTATGTTAACCCTCTTTCCACATTAAGATGTTAAGAAAGTGTGTTCTAGGTTCTTCGCAGGTGCCTTGTTCACCATGTTTTCCTCATGGGTTTACTTCCTACTCGTGTGCTACTCGAGAATTCCAGTGTTGCTTCGTCAGTGCTACTTGATCTCAACTGGCGTCTACATCCTGTTCGCTCTTCTCAACACCTCCTCTGTGCATTACCTCATCATGTCTCTTCTGGTCTTCGCTCAAGTCAGACTCATATCAGCTAGAACTCTGCCAATCACTTATCTACTCTCAACCTACGCATACTTAAGGTCAGTCTGTGTTCAATACTACACTCTTAAGTTAGAGCAGACGTGGTCGAGTGGGTTGGGCACACGTCTCTCAACACGAGTGTCATGCGTTTGAATTCAACTTTGGTCACGGTTGGAGGGGTCCCAGAGTCATCCGCCTCCTCAAGGTGGGACCGGCTGCGGCGAAATGGATGACATCACCCTCCCCACGGTTAGTCCTGCATTGAGCAGGACGAGGGCTAATAAAAAAACATTCGATAAGTTCGCCTGATGTATTTCGCAAAATACAGGTTTTAAGTTTTTTTTGAAGAAATCTGAAAATCAATGTGGTTGACCTTGAAATAGTTTCGTAATTTAGCGTTTGTGTGACTGGATTCTAAAGAAGGATTTAACCGCTAAATTTACCAAAAAACGAACTTAGTCCTATAATTTCATAAGCTTAATTGAGTTTAATTGTAATATATTTGATTCTGATTGGCTGAAAAATAGTATTCGAGTGATCGATCGTCCTTTTGAAAAAAAATTTATTACAAAAATTTATAATAATGTAATTCAATACCTTAATGTAAATGTGTTTTCTTTTAGAAAAATATATATAATGCAAAATTTTATAATAATGTATTTCAATTTCAGCTGCCGCCTTATACACTTCATGGTGGTCGACAAGGGTGAGACTCAATTCCACGACTCAGGGCTCCTCATGATTCTCATGGCCAGGTGCACTTTCATGGCCTTCGGAGTGTATGACCACATGAGGCTCAAAAAGGGCCATGACGAAGAAGTAGAGCTAACTGCGTTACAGCTACAGAATGAACTTGATGCGAGGCCGGGCTTCATGGACTTCTTCTCGTATGTCTACTTCTCGCCTTTTCTCTTTTTTGGTAAGCGTGAGTTGAAATGCTTCAGTTTGTGATTTTACTGGTAAAAGTGATCCTCGAGTAAACAAAATACGGCTTGGATCGGTGTTGGCAGAGCGTTTTTATTTGAAAGATCTGAATGATCAGTTTCAAAATATTATTTTTCGGCTCTCTTCTTTATCCTTTCCTAACATAAGCATCAGTTTAACTGCATAAAAAGAAGTTTGTTGACAAGTTGAGGTACGAAAGCTAGATATGTTTGAAAAAGCTTGCCAATTAGTCAGCATACCAATTGCCATAACAATCAGGCATTGCGACTAAAAATCTTTGAATTAAAAAATTGCAGCCGGGTGGTGATGAAAGGAAAATTCTGTTTTCTCTGCGCTCTTTTGTGTTACCTGATTTTGTGTTGTTTTTTTTCAGGTCCGTGTACTCCTTACAAAGCGGTGAATGACTATATATGGCTGTCTCAGGAGGAGATCTCGAAGCGGCCTTCGTTCCTCCCCTTTCTTCTGCAGAGGTTTTCACTGGTTATTTTCTTCTCGGTATTTTTCCTCGTTTTTGCAGATTACGCACAGGACGAATGGCTGGTGACGTCACATCATTCGATTGTGGTCAAGTGGATTTGGTCTGTTTTCATAGGTCAGTATTTACAGCAGTTGTTTTTTTTCCATACTTGCACTTGCGATCAGCTAAGTGTGTTATTATGAACCTCCTTTCTTTCTCACCTAACTTGCAAATAAAAGTGTTCATTAAAAGGGTTCACTTATTTGGAAATTTCACTGTACCATTTGAAATTGCATAGCATCTGTTCTCTGCTTTATTTGTGGCTAGCGTTTAGTGCCTAACAAGCTTCCGTTGCTGAGTGGCTAGTGTGTGAGAATCTTAATCTCTAAGTCCTAGGGGAGAGCCGCAGAGGTAGCCGAATTTTTGATAATTCGAACATCAGAGGTAGCCAAATTTTTGCTAATTCGAGGCTTATTTCTAATTTTTTTATTGTGCATTTAAAACAGGAATAAAATATTTCTTAAAATAGTAAGGTAATTGCTAAATTTGTAGTAATGTTCTGTTTTCGTTGGTCAGTTTTTACAATAACTGGCTTTTTTCCATTCGTCGAAGTAGTATATAACTATCTCTCTCACTCGACGTTGTTTTTTTCCGGCAATGATCAGGCGTTAAAAACAGGAAGAAAAAGTTCCTCAAAGTAGTAAGGTTCTTGTTATATTTGTAGTACTTGTCTGTTTTCGTTGGTCAGTCTTTACAATAACTGGATTTTTTCTTCAATAAATAGCATATGTTCTACAATAATGGGCCTTTTTCATTCTTTAAAGTAGCATATTACTCTATCTCATTCGACTATTATTTCCGGCAGCTGATTATGCGTTGAAACCATGAATTAAAAACAGTAAGGTTGTGTATGTTTGTAGTTTTCTTTTGGAGTTGAGATAAAGTTGTTTGCAAACTTTTGATGTGCTAACATTCTGTATTTTTCGAAAGTTAAATTTTTGCTAATTTCGCAAATTTCATTGCTTATTTTACTCAGAATGAACTTTTGTCTTCCGGTGTGTGTTTTAATTTTTTATTTTTGTCTATGAAAAAAATCAGGTACCACAAATATTTTTCAGAATGGATTGAGTGCTATATGATTGTGAAACCCTCGATGACGTGATTCGACGTGATCAAAATACCGAAAAGTTTTCTCAGACTTTAGAAAAATCGATTTGAGGTGTATGATTTTTAGTCTAATTTCGAGCGAATGAAGCAAGCGAGGGGGCTTATAATAGTAGTTCTTATAATTCAAATTTGCTGTTTTAGTTTAAATCCGGTGATTTTAATTTTAGAAGTTTTTAGCGCCTTATTTTGATTTAATTTTTTTCTTTGTTTTTCGAAGAAAATTGTTGTGGCTAGTGTGTGAGACTCTTAATCTCTAAGTCCTAGGGGAGAGCCGCAGAGGTAGCCGAATTTTTGATAATTCGAACATCAGAGGTAGCCAAGTTTTTGCTAATTCGAGGCTTATTTCTATTTTTTTTATCGTGCATTTAAAACAGGAATAAAATATTTCTTAATAGTAAGGTAATTGCTAAATTTGTAGTAATGGTCTGTTTTCGTTGGTCAGTTTTTACAATAACTGGCTTTTTTCCATTCGTCGAAGTAGCATATAACTATCTCTCTCACTCGACGTTGTTTTTTCCGGCAATGATCAGGCGTTAAAAACAGGAAGAAAAAGTTCCTCAAAGTAGTAAGGTTCTTGTTATATTTGTAGTACTTGTCTATTTTCGTATGTCAGTCTTTAAAATAACTGGATTTTTTCTTCAAAAAATAGCATATGTTCTACAATAATGGGCCTTTTTCATTCTTTAAAGTAGCATATTACTCTATCTCATTCGACTATTATTTCCAGCAGCTGATTATGCGTTGAAGCCATGAATTAAAAACAGTAAGGTTGTGTATGTTTGTAGTTTTCTTTTGGAGTTGAGATAAAGTTGTTTGCAAACTTTTGATGTGCTAACATTCTGAATTTTTCGAAAGTTAAATTTTTGCTAATTTCGCAAATTTCATTGCTTATTTTACTCAGAATGAACTTTTGTCTTCCGGTCTGTTTTAATTTTTTTATTTTTGTCTATGAAAAAAATCAGGTACCACAAATATTTTTCAGAATGGATTGAGTGCTATATGATTGTGAAACCCTCTATGACGTGATTCGACGTGATCAAAATACCGAAAAGTTTTCTCAGACTTTAGAAAAATCGATTTGAGGTGTATGATTTTTAGTCTAATTTCGAGCGAATGAAGCAAGCGAGGGGGCTTATAATAGTAGTTCTTATAATTCAAATTTGCTGTTTTAGTTTAAATCCGGTGATTTTAATTTTAGAAGTTTTTAGCGCCTTATTTTGATTTAATTTTTTTCTTTATTTTTCGAAGAAAATTGTTGTGGCTAGTGTGTGAGACTCTTAATCTCTAAGTCCTAGGGGAGAGCCGCAGAGGTAGCCGAATTTTTGATAATTCGAACATCAGAGGTAGCCAAATTTTTGCTAATTCGAGGCTTATTTCTATTTTTTTTATTGTGCATTTAAAACAGGAATAAAATATTTCTTAAAATAGTAAGGTAATTGCTAAATTTGTAGTAATGGTCTGTTTTCGTTGGTCAGTTTTTACAATAACTGGCTTTTTTCCATTCGTCGAAGTAGCATATAACTATCTCTCTCACTCGACGTTGTTTTTTCCGGCAATGATCAGGCGTTAAAAACAGGAAGAAAAAGTTCCTCAAAGTAGTAAGGTTCTTGTTATATTTGTAGTACTTGTCTGTTTTCGTTGGTCAGTCTTTACAATAACTGGATTTTTTCTTCAATAAATAACATATGTTCTACAATAATGGGCCTTTTTCATTCTTTAAAGTAGCATATTACTCTATCTCATTCGACTATTATTTCCGGCAGCTGATTATGCGTTGAAACCATGAATTAAAAACAGTAAGGTTGTGTATGTTTGTAGTTTTCTTTTGGAGTTGAGATAAAGTTGTTTGCAAACTTTTGATGTGCTAACATTCTGAATTTTTCGAAAGTTAAATTTTTGCTAATTTCGCAAATTTCATTGCTTATTTTACTCAGAATGAACTTTTGTCTTCCGGTGTGTTTTAATTTTTTATTTTTGTCTATGAAAAAAATCAGGTACCACAAATATTTTTCAGAATGGATTGAGTGCTATATGATTGTGAAACCCTCTATGACGTGATTCGACGTGATCAAAATACCGAAAAGTTTTCTCAGACTTTAGAAAAATCGATTTGAGGTGTATGATTTTCAGTCTAATTTCGAGCGAATGAAGCAAGCGAGGGGGCTTATAATAGTAGTTCTTATAATTCAAATTTGCTGTTTTAGTTTAAATCCGGTGATTTTAATTTTAGAAGTTTTTAGCGCCTTATTTTGATTTAATTTTTTTCTTTGTTTTTCGAAGAAAATTGTTGTGGCTAGTGTGTGAGACTCTTAATCTCTAAGTCCTAGGGGAGAGCCGCAGAGGTAGCCGAATTTTTGATAATTCGAACATCAGAGGTAGCCAAATTTTTGCTAATTCGAGGCTTATTTCTATTTTTTTTATTGTGCATTTAAAACAGGAATAAAATATTTCTTAAAATAGTAAGGTAATTGCTAAATTTGTAGTAATGGTCTGTTTTCGTTGGTCAGTTTTTACAATAACTGGCTTTTTTTCATTCGTCGAAGTAGCATATAACTATCTCTCTCACTCGACGTTGTTTTTTCCGGCAATGATCAGGCGTTAAAAACAGGAAGAAAAAGTTCCTCAAAGTAGTAAGGTTCTTGTTATATTTGTAGTACTTGTCTGTTTTCGTTGGTCAGTCTTTACAATAACTGGATTTTTTCTTCAAAAAATTATATATGTTCTACAATAATGGGCCTTTTTCATTCTTTAAAGTAGCATATTACTCTATCTCATTCGACTATTATTTCCGGCAGCTGATTATGCGTTGAAACCATGAATTAAAAACAGTAAGGTTGTGTATGTTTGTAGTTTTTTTTGGAGTTGAGATAAAGTTGTTTGCAAACTTTTGATGTGCTAACATTCTGAATTTTTCGAAAGTTAAATTTTTGCTAATTTCGCAAATTTCATTGCTTATTTTACTCAGAATGAACTTTTGTCTTCCGGTGTGTTTTAATTTTTTATTTTTGTCTATGAAAAAAATCAGGTACCACAAATATTTTTCAGAATGGATTGAGTGCTATATGATTGTGAAACCCTCTATGACGTGATTCGACGTGATCAAAATACCGAAAAGTTTTCTCAGACTTTAGAAAAATCGATTTGAGGTGTACGATTTTTAGTCTAATTTCGAGCGAATGAACCAAGCGAGGGGGCTTATAATAGTAGTTCTTATAATTCAAATTTGCTGTTTTAGTTTAAATCCGGTTATTTTAATTTTAGAAGTTTTTAGCGCCTTATTTTGATTTAATTTTTTTCTTTGTTTTTCGAAGAATATTGTTGTGGAATATACTTAATTTTTTTAAATTCGTTTTTCGATGAAAAATATCATGTAATTTGTTTAATTTTCCATTACTTTCCAATATGCCTAATTACTAGTTGCTCAGTAACTGGCCATCTTTGTTGTTCCGACCATTTAAAAAATGTAGAGGCAATTTCGATTTAGTTTTAGTCAAGTGTAATTAGTTTTTGGAGTTTTGTAACGTCGTTTTGAGAATCAAAAACTCAAAAAAAACTGACAAAATGTTTTAACATTTTATTTTTTTTGTCCAGTTTGCCTGTGTTTCTATAACTGTCGAATATGCCTAAGTTGTAATTTTTTAGTCCAGATTATTTTATCACACCACGCAGAAAAAACGACACTAATTTGAAAGAAAGAAAGTTTGTGTTTTTAAGACTATGGTCGGAACATTCTGTGGTACTTGCACAGTAATAGGCTATTCTCGTTTTTTTGCTATTTGCTTGCAATGACGAACTTGGTCAGGTCATTCGTTGCTAATTGCATAACCACCTGCTATTCTTGTTCACGAACTGTACTACGTGAAATAAGTTCTGAAATTAACGCCGTGTTTTTCTTTTATTTTTGCCAATTTATAGGCTGTATATTATTGTTAAGTATAGAATATGTTCCACAAAATTCGTCGTTTTTTTTCGACAGCTTTCAATTCAAATTATCTCAGTTTTGCTACCGGCTTGTTTTTGATCTACAAGTTATAACCAGTTTATCGGTTCTTTTCCAAGTTTCTGGCTTGTTTTTGAGCCTAAAAAATTTATTGCGAGCATGAATGGCAAAATTTTCATATTTTGTTTTCCGAACATCCAGGACCGATGAATAAAGATTTACCTCTGCAGCGAGTTTTTGGGATAGAAGTTCATCTTATGAAATATTTTGTAATTGTCCGAGACTTTTTCCAGTGAACGACTTCTAAATTTGACAATGTGAGCGCTCCTTTTGAGGTTTGGTCGGCAGGTGCGCTGACATGCTCCATTTACCGCTATTTAAATTTTACTACGTCGCTTTATGTAACGTTGCTTCCCCCCCCCCCCCCCTCTCTCCTATCTTTCTGATTTGTTAGTCCAAAAGATGAAGCCAGTCAAATTTAGAAGGGCTAGAAATTTCAAAGATTTCGAAATAAAACCACGGAAAACCAATTTTGACAAAATGCTTCGATTCGTATGGAGCAAAAATGTGGAATGAAATGCCGGAGTTTGTGTAGGAAATCGAAATAATAATAACATTAAAAAAATAGCTAAAAACATATCTATTTAGGGCTCACTTTTAACTTGAGGAATGTCATTGTGCTTCATTTTACTAATGAATTTTGGATACTGGCTAATCCTACAATATTTATTATTACGATTATTGTTCCGACTTTCGAAGAAAACGGAATATTTATGCTTGGTGTGGTATTTTCATTCAGTCAATTTTCGGCGATCGAAATAATAGTTTTCAACAAATTTTTTTATACCCTATTGAAGATATTGACTCCCTTAATTCAAATTTGAAAAGATATTTTACCTCCGATCATTTTTTGTTAAGTTCTGAAGTTAAAAAATTGCCGATTTGGCCATGTTTTGGACTACATTATGCGCGCTTTGAAGCTATTATTCACAAAGCTGAAAGCTTAACGCGAATTATTTAAACATGGCGAATTATCCCGCTCAACAAAAATGGTCCAAATTGAATTGAGGCTAGCTAATCGATCATTTTAAGTTCCTATGAATCATTTTTTTTCACTTGATCTTTGATATTGCCCAAAGTTTGTAGTATTTCAATACTTTTTTTTCCAAAAAGTATTCAATATGGATTAAGGGACAGTAAGAACGGAAGATTCAGGGTTTCAATTATGCCTATTGGAACGAAAGTTTTTGTCAAGTATTGTCAGCTTATTGTTCTTACTTTCGTAATGAAAGTAACAGAATGTTTGTGCTCGGGCTGGGTTTTTTCTTCAGACAAATTTCGACTTTTTAACTAGCCATTTTTGACTGAATTTTTATACATCATTCGAGAGGTATTGTTGTCCTGAGCCTAAATTTGAAAGGCAGTCGGAACATTCAAGGCCTAGCCCTGATACGAGCAGTCTTGTTTTAATTTGGGTTCATTTCTAATTGAACGTTGGGGTTTGGCTTTCTCGAAGTAATTTCCTGAAGCCCATCTGCCTTCGAGACAAACTAATGAAAATTTTGGTAGATCTAGTTGGTTTCGCCTTTTTTCAAGCAATGTTTTTGACTTAATGGCTCTCTTTATGTCGGCTACCATGGCATACTATGTTAATATGCATTGCAAGTGATGTGAAGCTTCGCTTCACCTGTGTTGAAAAGTGTAATGGCGTTTGTATCGAATGAGTAAGTGAAGGAAAGGCTTTTTCAGACTTTCTGTTTTTGGTATTAATAGTAGGTTTTTTGATTTTTTGTTAATTGTTGAAATATTTCTAAAGAACCACTTGTGCTCCTCATTTACAATGAGCTCGTAATTTTTTTCAGGCTTGAATGCTTTGATTCTAAGAGATCCAAAAAAGTTATACTTTTTCGTCCATAAATTTCGTTCAGTTTGGTCAAATTTCTGTTGTCGTCTTTCTCGCTTATTGCACGGTGCACGAATCTCTGTCTCGTTTCTCTGTGAAAGTATATTAACCATGACATATGGGTCATCGCAACTGAGTTACATCAGGAAATGTTTCTAATTTCTAGAAATTTCTTAACTGATTCGTTGCCTTTTTTCCTGTTTACATGGCGAAACAAAAGTGCAGAATGTGAACAATTCTGAGTCAAAAACCTTTCCTTTTTGAAGTAACTTTAGTGTTGATTGAAACGGGTTGTTATAGACCATTCACTATTTCTGTCCCTCAAATTAGAAGTTTGTTTGACAGGTGAGCTGTTCAAAATGCGATACTACGTTGCCATTCTTTTCGGCGAGTGCTGCGCTACAGCGAGCGGAGTCGGCTTCTCGGGATTCGACCAATCAAAACGAGCGCAGTTTGACAGCGTCCTCAATATGCGCATATTTGACTGCATTTTTCCATGCAGTCCTAAACTTCTGATGGAAGGCTGGCATATCACTATCTCACAATGGCTAAGATATTCAGTGTATGAAAGAGTTCCAGTCATGAAAACGCTGGCCGTTTTCTTGGCATCGGCATTATGGCACGGTTTCTACACGGGTATTCTACTGGGAATTGGCTATGGAGCGGTTTTAGTTCTAGCCTCTCGGAAAATGCGGAGACTACTTCGTCACAGAGTCAACACCGACTCTAAACTTGTTCAGCTAACTTATGACGTCATAACAACAGCTGTTTCGGTTTTGTTCAGCACGCCTTTTATGTTGATATACAACGCCAACGATGCAGATAAAGTGTTGCCACTGGTCAAAAGCTTTCTCTGGATGCCAACAGTTATATGCATATTAGTCGCTCTATTGCCAATACAGAGACCTAAATCCAAAACATCCTAGTGCCTACAAGCCAGTGACGTTGGCAAGTTTACAGTGTTGATTTTAAACTGATTTTTTTCTTCGTTAGCTTGCCTAACAGCTTGCTTGTTTTGAATACCGATTGTTCTGAGAATTCGGTTTTTCAAGATTTGAGATTTTTTTTAGAGTAAGTGAAAGTTTTGACCTCTGAACTGAATACGTCACTGGCCAGCCCAAAATCAGTAATAAACTGCTAAATAAAGTAAACCAGTTGGAAAAGTTGTCGATCAATCCATCCGATGTTTAAATTATTCGAAAACGAAAATAAGACATGTTCTCGAAATGTTTGAAAAATCAAACACTTGAAAGTTAATTGTTTGATTTTTTACAGATTTTCACCTTACCTGAACTAAATTTTTGTTTTTTGAACATTTGAGATCAGATAGAGGGAACTTATTGTTAATGGGTAGTTTTAATTAATTTGCTCAATTTTGCGAATAACGTTGTATGAAAAGGAACATTGAAACGCTAGCGTTGAATTGGTGCAATTTAGGAACTGATAAAACATAGTTATGATGTGATGTTAATAACGTTCTGGGCCGAATAAATTTAAAAATAATAGTAACAGAATCTAATAACGTATTGTTAATTGAAGAAAAGTGTGTAGTTGGTTTGTTGGTGCTAAAACATCTTCTTCCCTTTCTTTATTCCAGGTGTGACCATTTAATCTCATTTCTGTTATTCGTATGTAGCCAAAGCAGCATTTACTTAGATTAAAACGCTTTTTACACTCGAACAACTCTCATTTCAAACGGAGAGGAGTGCGGTCAAAAAGTAGACATGACATTAAGTAGACAAATCGTAAGCGAAGCACAATCGAGATGAGAAAACAAACGTACGAAGTATTTTCTTTCCTTTATTCTGATTGGCTTACGACGTGTCTACTTTATGACATGGCTACTTTATGCTGTAACCAAAAGGACAGTAGTTACTTGGTTACTAGTTACTCGTAGTTTAATTAATAGGTCTTAAAACCAAGCAGCATTTGAAATGCAATGGTTGTATAAATAGAATTTTTACAATCCATGTTTTTCAAAGTGAGTTCGAGTGTTATTTGTCAACGTCGTCTCCAATTTCAGTCATGCTAATATTTCTGACCATTAAAAAAGGGGATACTTTGTATTGGGTTATTTTAAAACTTTTTACAGAGTCTTTGAACGCAGTGAAGCATCTTATATAGTTTTTTTTTGTTTTCAGGAAATAGTCTTAAAATGCTCTAATAACTGCAAATGTGCATTCATACATATTGCAGCATTTATCAATAGTTTGAGGTGTATATCCAGTTTTTGAGTACTTTTGCTAAAAGGTAGGCAGATTACGCTCTTTAATTATGGAAGTGGAAATGGCGCAGAAAAACGTAAACGACTTTTGCGTTCGAAAGTATATTTACACATGCGAGCGTAGTGTAGTTGTACGAGTATGCTTTTTCAGTCGCAAATATTGGTGCGAATTTTGGGGTAACTTTACGGCTTTTTGATAGCATGTGCTTTGCAATTCGAATAGTAATAAGTTAACACAGTTGATACATTTTAATTTCATCAATTGAACCGGAAAAAGCTAATTGTATCAAACAACATAACAATAATAAAAACACGATTTCAGAAGTTTTCTTACTCAATATATCTCGAAATTTTTTTGAAATGCATAATTTATACATAATGTGGCTTTATGCTTTCCAATTTTTTACATATAAATTAGTATAGATTTGTGGTATTCCAAAGTTATTACTTGCAAAATTGTGTCTATTTTATTTGGTGCGGCTTTTGCTGCATAGCAATGGCAATTTTATTTGTGTCTAGTTTTTGCCGGTTAAGCGTTTGTGGCCGAGAGGGAAGGGCGTGAGACTCCAATTCTCGAGGTAGCAGGCTCAAAGCCCATACGTAGTAAAGTTTTACTAATTCGTGGCTTATCTTTCTTTTATTTCACTTAATAAAGCTGCTTTTTTGTCGTGGTCTCGCTTCGCCTCTGTGTGTTTACATAATTTGGCCTAGTTAGTTTGGATGCGTTTAGCTTATTATCATCCAGATTATTGCATGCAAACATTTTGTTTTATTTATATTTTGTGTGACTTTTGCTGCATAATTCCTCGCTATTTTTAATTGAATTTCGTAGATAGATGTTTTCAAAAAAAGACCTTTTTTTCAGCTTACTTGCGTGCATCGACTCTTTTCCAACTGTCTCTTGGCTATGTTCGTTTTACACGAAAAGTTATGCACCAGAAGTAATAATTGCTAGGGTGAAATGTTATATCATATTCAATCCTTTTCAGTCGTGATTCGAACGACATCAAAAATAATTCAAAATTTTTTTTGCAGTGTTGAGAAACTGGTTTATTTTTTTTGTTTTAGCTCAAGTTTGTGCGAGTGATGTGAGCACGCAGATTTTTATAAAGGATAATCCGTGAAGTTTAAATCTTGGGGATCAAATATTCAAAAGTTTCTGTCAGTAAATAAAAATAGATGTATGTTTTTTTCTCCATAGCTTCTGATTTAATATATTTTTCTCTGAAGATGTTTAGAAATTGTTTCGTTCTTCCTATTCTCTGATTGTTTATTAGATTCGAGGACATTTCATCGTGAGTAGCTGCATTGTAGTGGCATAACGTGTTGTTTCGATTGAGGAGAAATAAGTAAAGAAACCAATAATTTTCTGAAAAAGTTGAGTTCGATCTGTATATTTTCTTCAATTATAAATTTTGCTCTGTTGTGTCTTCAGAGGTATTTTGCAAGTAACTCATGAGATTCAGAAATGTAGAGGTTTTTCTTAAATTTGGTTTGATCATTTCCATCAACAGCAGTTACTTTTATATAGCTTAAATGATTTGAAATAAATAATTTTTGAAGTAAAGTTACTTTTGCAATTTTGGCTTAAGTTTCTTGTCTCGCAAACGATGGGAAACCCTACTCCGTCTTTGTATGATCATAAAGAATAAGCTAAGTTTCAAAAAGTTTTAGGTGTTTTTCAAATAAAAAAAAAATAAAAGTAATTACCTCCTCCGAACCAGGCTGCGTTTTCGCGATGTCTGGGAGTAGGAATAATACCAAATTTTGAAGATATCTGAAAGGTTTTTTGTTTGAGAAATTGAGTTTGTGTCCGATATTTTTTTAGTTTTCGATTTGTGTTTCGGAAAAAAGACCCCGGTGAAACTTGCTATATTTTGAATCCTAAACAGCCTAAGCAAATATCACAGGTGGAGCGATCGGAATGAGGTATTCGCTTATCATGTAATTGATTTTTAGAGCTTAAATGGATTCCACCGTGTTAATTCTGATCGGCATTGGAGCTCTAATCGTAGCTTTGTTTCTAACAGTATTTTATATGTTGGTGCTATCTGGACTATTTGAGTCGGTTGACGTTAAGGCCACAAAGAAACACCTACTAAACAAGTCCAGAATAATTGCGTACAAAACATACAAAGGCTCATACGGTCAAGTTGGAGATGCATTTTCGTGGCTATGCAGAACTGCGCCATATAATGACACGATAGGAATTTATTACGACGACCCGAAAACAGTAAGTGAAGCTCCATTTAGTGATGCCGCAGACATGCAGTGATACAAAGTTCCAAATGAGCCTCAATAAATTGTGTCGACCCCCCCCCCCCCCCCCCCCCCAAGAAATTTTTTTTGCACGCGCCACTGAAATGAGGTAAGATATTTTGGCCTACAGTTTTTAGGGTTTTATTATTTAGAAGGCTGCGCTTGGCCGAATATGGGTCTGGTTAAATCGAACCCTCGACAATATTGGTATTGAAACAAGAATAGTCGGATACTGTGTTTGCTGTGCAAATAGGACAGACTGTTCCGAGCAGTCTTAGAAAAATACGAAAAAAATGTTTGTTTTTTCAAAATTCAAATAAGTGTGAATTTTTTTCTGCTTGATGTGATAAAAAGATCTGACCGAAAAACTAGATGTTAGACTAATTTGAAAATCATAGTAAAATAAGCAAATTGTACAACAGCTTTTGAAGAAAATGATAAGAAAAACAAACAAATCATAAAATAAAAATCGAAATCAATACTCCGATGATTATTTGTGGCTACTGATTTTGAGTGGAAAACAAAAAAATGGAAAAACCTAAAACACCCGAATACAAAGTTCCTCTCCATTTTCAATAGTCGGAACAACAAGGCTCGTTTCCAATAAATAATGCTTTTAACTGTTTTGGGTTGTTGTTATTTTCACTATTAAGTTAATGATTAGGAGGTAGTTACGAAACCCCTTGAGACTGACATTAAATCGGTAGCTCAATAATCTTTAAGTAATTTCGTTTTGCTGACGGGAAGTTTTTCCACAATGTGACAGAAAGTTGATCAAATTTTCTTGCACTAAATTTAATATTTACCCTAATTATTTTTATTCTGATTTGTTCTTACGCTAGCAAAGAGTTGTCTAGTGGATATTCTAAGTGGTTGCTTATAACCGTACAGATAGCTGATTCGATCCCCAGCTGTCGCAAGGTCTTGCAGGCTTAGTTGCTGTTGCTTTTGTTTGCGAAGTGCATCTTCACCTCAGTGTATTCATTCTAGGTCCCTGTTGATGAATGCCGCTACATTGTCGGTGCTATTGTAGAGACTTGCGTTGAGAACAGAATGAGTTTAGAAGAAGTTATACAAAGACTAGAAGAGGAAGAGTACCAGTTCTTCCAGATGCCCGGATCAACTGACCCAGTGGAGAAAGAAGGGGAACTGGAAAAAGAAGGGGAATCGGGAAAGGGAGATGCTACTAGCGACGAGGGGGTTGGAACTCCGATGGTCCATTGTACTTTTCCATTCGTGAACACTCTCTCAATTATGATTGCAGTCAGACGAGTTTACCCCGCTTTGCAGAAATATATTTCGGTGAGTATCGCGCTTGTCAGTTGTTGTCACGTAGATAATCAGAAGGCAATTTCGCCAGTCTCTTTTCCACAACGCTTGAAAAGCTGAACTGTAATTTGTTGGAAGACATTTTTAACCTATTTTTTTTTCGTACGACGAGGTTGCTTTTGTCGCCCAGAAAGCGGTGAATAAAAACTAACTTCAGGCATCAAATTTTTGCTTATTTGCTGAAGCGGAAAGCCATTTTACTTCTAATTTTTCGGATGCCTAAAACTCGTCATTTTGCATCTACAGATGTGATTTACGTGTATCATGTGCTAGAGCCAGTGTCTGATTAGCAAAAGATTGCAGGTCTGAATCGTGTGGTTTGATTTCGGTCACCATTCATGTTCTTTTCTTATCGCCACGTCAAGCATTTTCTATTTTATGCATTTCAATTTTTTTTGTTATTTTTGATGTGTGCGAAGCGAGACTTTAAACTCAGCATATTCGAGCTTGTCTTACGTTGAATCTTTTTCTTAAAACAACTTACTTTTTCATAAATAACATCATTATAATTGTTTAAATAAATTGAGGGCTACAATAAAATGAGTATAAAAAATTTGAACTGACAGAATTAATTAAAAATAGCAATCTCCTAGTTCTAAGCAATTTTTGAAACACTCTTTCTGTCTGAAAAACTAGCTTACGGGTCCAAAATTTTTCTGAATTATGTCTTTTGATCTGTTAAGTAAGTTCTAAGAGTAGTGAACGTAGTGTTTCAGGAAAAAGTCTTAAAATATAGATGCACTTAAGTATATATGCTTTTTTTGAGTTCAGTTGAAATTCATCTGCTGAAAGTGACGTAAATAGCACTCTCCAAATACGAACATGCAAATGGCGCAAAAATTCGTGAACGATTTCTAGTTTCGCAAGTGGAATTGATTTTTAAGATCTCCAGCGGAAAAAAAACTTTACTTATTGATCCAGTTTTCTCAAGTTGGGTTAATCTTATCGAAAAAGTGCCGGTCATAAATCATTTTAGAAAATAAAAGAGCTTAAAGGGCATCTATTTTTTTTCTTTGAATTCAAAAATTGAGATTTTTTCAACAAATCCAGTGTTTTTTTATGTTTACTTGCGTTCATTACTCTTTTCCATTACTCTTGGCTGTTTTCTGTTCCAAGTTTTTGCACTTTTCTATAGTACTGTTTCAGGACAACAAGTTGAAAACTGGTGCTTATCCGTTCATTGAATACTGCCACGACAGCACTCTTCACTTCTTGGTGCCCTGTCTGGACAACCAGAGGTTCTTTGTGCCAGAGTTCTGCGAAGAAAACAAACAGTTTGCGGCAGAAAAGTACAGTGATTTAGTCAAACATTGAAAGAATGTACTTGTTTTCAGTTCTTGCTACCGTTCCGACCACTCTCGAAAAATGGGAAGGTATTTTTTTTCACAATGGAAAAATGGGTAGGGGGTAAAGGTTAGGTGTTTTTTTTTTTTCACCCATTCACAGACACCTCAACGAAAACTCGTGGGGTGGCTAATACGGTATCAAATTACAGTCTTTTTATTCCTGATTCGTACTTGAAGCACATTTTCAATCTTTTTTACGGCGGGTACATAGTGGACCCTTAATATTAACATATTCGAAGACATCCATTCTGTCTTATTTAGAGGTTTATTCACATGTTTAAGCTATTATTCCCTTGTTTTTTTTTGGAGTTAATTCGGTCCACCGTAGCCAAAAAATCAGTTCTTGACGTGTTTTGCAATTAATACCGTGGTCGGAACATTTAATACTATTTTCACAGTAGAAGGTTACTATTGTCTTGTAAGTGATAATTTTGTTAAGAGGTTAATGTGGTTTTAAAAATTTAACTTATTGATTGGGCGTGTTTTGTCTTTGTAGGTGATTATTTGTTTACACTTGCGAAGCAAAGTCTATTAGTACGATCTTTCTTTTTTTTCAACCTAAGTCGCAAATAAAAGTGCTACTTTTGGTGGCAATTTTGAATCAGCAGGCTGCGGTAGCAGTATAATATCATGTGCTTTGACATTTGATTAGTAAAAAGTTAACACAGCTGATGCATTTTAATTCATCAAATGAACCAAAAAAGTTAGTTGTTTCAAACAGCAGTACAATGATGAAAAGCTCGATTTCAGAAACTTTCCAACTCAATGTATTTCGAATTTTTTCTTGAAATGCATAATTTATTCACAATTTGGCTTTATGCTTAACAATTTATTACATGCAAACATGTGTCTTTTTTTTAATTTGCTGCTACTTTTGCTGCATCAAATCGGCAATTTATTACCATATGTAGCTGCGTTATTAGTGGCTAGTTTTTAGGGATTTTAAGCATCCGTGGCTGAGTGGTTAGTGCATGAGACTCAAATTAACTAGGTCGCAGATTCAAATCCGACACGTGGCTGAGTTTTTGCTAATTCGAGGCTTATTTCTACTTTTTCTTATTTCACGATAGAGCTGCTTTTTGGCCATGTTCTTGCAAGTGTTTGCGAAGCGCAGCATCGCCTCTGTGTACTAATTAATTTCTACTCAAGTGTATAGTAAATCAATGGTAAAAGTTATATTAGGCAAAGTTTGCTAAGCGCGGTTTTATATTGAGATTTTTCTGAGTTTCCAAGCTTCTAAATGTCTTTCTAGTAAAGTCTCTTAAATCATTGCTGAATTTAATACTACTCTGGGAAGTAATCTTTGGAGGAAATGTACTGTCATTGAACGTAATGAAGACACTTAAGTAGATCGTGATTTTTTTGTCTCTTTTCAGGAAAAAAATTGCTGTTTTCTACATATGATTTTTTTTCAAGTTCAGTTGTTTGATTTATTTTCAAGTTCAGTTGTTTTCCTTTGTTGCAAGGAGTGAAAAAGTTTAAAGCTCCACCACCGAATAGCAAAAGCTTTAAGCTCCCAAAAATGTGTGTAACTTCTAGATTCTATTTTTGAATAATTTTAATTTTCGGAATTCCCAGCGAAATGAAATAAGTACTTGTTGATCCAGTTTTCTCAATGAACAATTTTTGGAAGTCAAAGAGGTTCAATGTGCTCTATTTGTTTTTCGAAATTCAAAAGTCTTCACACTAGCGAGCTTGCGAAGCGTAATGCATATGTAGAGACCCTCTTTTTTCTAAGATAACTCGAAAATAGAAGTTTTCATTGAATTTTTTCACTTATATGCTGGCTATAATCACGACCTGTAGTTCTGGAAATTTCATAACATCTGTTCTCTGCTTTCTTTGAGGCTACTGTTTGTGATTATTTTAGCGTCCGTATCTTATTGTTATTGTTAGTGCGTGAGATTCATTTTCTTTCGGTCGCTGTTCGAATTCGAGATGTAGCAGAATTTTAACTAATTTTATGCTTATTTCTCATTGCACTTAAATAAAAGTGTTCATTAGAAATATTGGCTTATTTAGTGGCCTTTTTGTTATAATCACGATCTGCAGTATAAGGAATTTCATAGCATCTGTTCTCTGCTGTATTTCTGGCTAGCGTTTGTGACGTATCAAGCATTTGTGGCTGAGTGGTTAGTATGTGAGACTTATTATCTCCAGTTCGCTGGAGCAAATCTGAGACGCAGCTGAAGTTTTCTAATTCGAGGTTTTTTTTCTTATTGCACTTCACTTTTCGTCATGTTCTGGCTAGTGTTTGCGAAGCGAAGCTAAGCTTCGCCTCTGTAAAAATTTATTATTGTTTTATGTTTTAGCTGAGTTTCGTGAAACTTTTCCAACTGTCTGTTGGCTATGTTTTATTTTCTAGGTTCAGTAACATGTTCAGAAAGGGTTTATTCACCAGATGATCATTCTGGGTTCATAGTTTTTGAATGCATTAAATTTTTTTGGTTCATTTTTTGAGTTAACCGAGGAAAAACTCTTCAATTGGTGTTCGATACTGTTACACCAATCTGAAGCCTAACAATTATTGCGTTTTAGTTATTAGAAAGCTAAAGTAAAATTGATTTTAAGGCCCTTAATTGAATGAAAAAGTCTTAGTAGAAATCATTTAAGTTTTGTCGTGTCTTGCCTGTGTAAAAAATTGTGATTTTGTCTAGTAACTTATTTCAATTTATAGTTATTTAGCATATCCTCCTGAAGCGAATTTGAAGAAAATTTTTGATCCAACTCAAAAAACTTTTCTTACATATCTGTACGAAATTGTGAATTTGTTTCATTAGTAAACTCTAGAAATTTCTAGATTACTTCCAACTTGGCCTAGGGAAAACGCGGTTGCCTTTGTACCCTAAGATCTGGGTTTCGTGTTCCAACGGACCTTGTTTTTTTTCAATATGTATAAAATTGTTTTTTTCCACGAAAATTTGAATTATTGGACTTTCGTTTGTCTGCTTGTTTTGTCGCTTAGTTGCCATATCGAGAAATTTTATAGTACTGTCAGCAACTTTCTTCAGAGATGCAAGTGATTTTGTTTTGCTCCTGCAGTTTGCTTAAAAGCTTTATTCGGCTTGATTGGTTGCTGCTGATGTTTTATCGGCTTATTAACATGATTTTGTGAGACATCAAATTCAAAAAATGAGGGATTTTTTGTGAACATCTTAAAAAGTTTGTGTTCTGAGATTTTGTTTTCCAGAAGAACGGGTTGTGCAAAGCTCCTCTGCAGAAACCAGGGGCGGATCTAAGATTTTCTCGAGGGGGGGCGGATTTTCAAAATTTTGACGACCTTTTTTTTAGGTCGACCAAATTGATTTTTCGAGCTCTCCCAAAGCAATGTTTTGCGCCTATTTTGGCAAAATTTTCTTGCGCCGGAGGCAAATTTTTGAAAAAACAGTCAAAAAAGCCGTTTTTGGGCACTTTTTGAAAAACGTTGACAAAAAAATCGCGTTTCTTTTGGAGCGCACTCCCGCTCAAAGTTAGTATATATTGGCGCCAAAGGCGCCTTTAAAAAAATTTTAGGGTCGGTCCGCAAAAATGGATTTCTGAAAAAGTATCAAAGGGGGGAATCTTTGGGTCGGCAGGGGGTCGAATCCCTTAGGGGGAAGGGGCGTCCACCCCCCCCCCTAAATCCGCCCTTGGCAGAAACTATTACGTCTAAATTTTTTGCCCAAAAATGTTGTACTCGCAAAAGTCAAATTTTGATTTTTAAAATTAATTTTGAAGCTTTTTATTCTTTTTTTTCAAAAAAATACCGATCTACTGAACAATTGCCCCCTTTTAAGAAGGGGGGGGGGGGGCAATTGTTAAGTAGATTGAAATAACGCATTTTCGACCAATCAGAATGCAGCAAATTCTAATTGTCAATAGAAAGCTCAGTGCTAATTTACTGCGTTTATTAATAGGGGTGGCAATTCTTAAGTAGATACCACAGGGGGGGGGGGGGGGGGGGGGGGAATAGATCCAAAAATGCCCTTTCAAACCCCAGGCTTCGGGTTCAATCGAAATAACAGGTCAGGTTCTTTCTATGAAGCTCCCCTGCATAAGTGGCTATGCCCAATTTTTTTCTCACAAAAAAGTTATGATCCCCGGAAACATGAATTTTTTCATTTGGTTTTCATACTTCTTTTGAAAACTACCAGTCTAAATCTGATATCTATGGTTTAATCAAAACAATGGTTGCGAAAAGCCTCACTGCTCAAGCGGTTAGGCCGTAAATTTAAAACAAAAATGTTATGGATTAGTGAAAAGTCAAATGTTTGATACTTTTTGGACCATTTTTAGAAACTTTTTGACTTTTCTCTTTAAAAGACTTTTCTTCTTTATAAAATGCTTGATTCTGATTGGCTGAAAATTCACAATGAAAACCAAGTGAACATCCTCCTCCCCAAACTGCTTGGGAGAAAGGGCGGGGGAGGGAGTTAATTTGGTCCCAAAGAGTCTCTAGAGTTGTCAATGCTACAAATGATATGAATAAATTGAATTGTAAACAAATTGAATAACTTCGTGAAGTTTTTTTCAAGTAACTTTGCATGTTTTAAACTAACTCAACTTGTGTATATTTTGTTCCGTTTGTGGTAATATTGAAAATTTTAGCACTCGCTTTATTGATAAGCTCGTATAATTCTGTATTTGGCTATTTTTCTGCTGTTTAACCGTTCCGCTCATTTACCGTCTATCAAATATTACATATGTGACTTCTGTGACTAACTCATAGTCATTTTTCATACCTTGCGCTAAAAGCTACGCCATATTTATTTTACGGTCAAGTTACACGATAACCAATAAAACATAGGCGGATGTTCAACAAGCCGCTTTATCTACAAACTGCCATATCTTGTTTCCGAAATTATATTGCAGTTGTTACGTAATCATTACATAACAAGTGACGATCTGCTGTGGCAAGTGGCTTGTTGGAATGGTATTTTTTCGGCTTGTTGGCTCTTCGGCTTGTTAGCCTACCGCCAATATATCTGTGACTCTATTACAGTCAGTTTTCATATCTCAGAATTAGTCTGAGAAACGTTTTCTCAGAAGTTATCTTAGTTATTTTTTGCAGGAGTCGGGAACCGAGAGATCAATCGAACCAAAAAAGAGCAGCATTACTTCGTTTTTTTCTATAAATGTAGTCCTTGCGTCATTATGTCGACATGGTAATTCTATATATGGATCAATGCAAACTACTTTAATGTTTAAATTCTGATAGACTATTTGTTGTATACAATTTTGCACTCAGTTTTAAGCAATTCAATCACGTTTTGGTCTGGTCAAAAGTTCAGAATACTAACAACTGATTTTATTTATTAAGCTTTGATTTAAACGTCGTGAAAAAAAGATGGGAGCAGAAATAAGCTGTGAAGCCCGAGACGGATTCGAACCGGGTACCAAAGTGAAGATCAATTGTGACAAGAAAACTTTGAAAAGCGTGCACTTGGCTGCCAACCGCTGGGACTCTGAATTGAAGGAGTTGATCGGCAAACAGCTGAAACTCAAAGGTTAGCGATAAGGTCCTTCCAGATAAATAATCAATTTTCCCCTGAGAACAATCAGTTTGAACTGCAAATCTGACAGTTTGGTACCCAAAGTATAGATACTTCCCTCTGAAAAATACTTCAGCCCTTCAACATTTTCGGAAAAAAATTTTGCAATTGCTGTTAAGTTTTTTAAGAGTTGCCATGAAAACGACTGGGCCCATGTATCATACTTGCTTTTGAAACCAACATTTGAGTGACTCAAGGTTCAGATTTACACCGAGTTTGTCTTTTTACTAATTCCGTCCAAAAATTAATATTTCAATAGCTTTCTTGAGCTGAAACTTTTTTTGCTTCAATCTGATTTCAGCTCACGCCTAATAGGTCAACTAATAAATAATAAATAAGCCGAATTAGTCAAAAATATAAATGTTTGGTAAATTATTCAAACATTTTACCCTTGCGATAATCAAGGGTACTGCAATCGGACTTTTTTTCCAGTAAACAATTTTGTCCATAGGATCTTCGCTTCTAGAGAATCTTTCATCTGACATGCTCAATTTCTTGAAAGTTTAAATAACAATACTGTCTTTAAGCTAGTCATTAGTTCAAGCCCGTTTCAGGTTGTAATTATCTTTTCAAAAAAAAAACATTACGAGGCCAAATTGTGCACTGAATAGGCGCACAGGCACAATTTTGTGTCTATGTTCCTGGATTCCAGAGACAAGTCTTTATTCATGTTGAAATTTTGTCGGAGTTGTCAAAGAGAATGAAAGAACAAAAATGAATACTTTTTGCGGAATCCGCTTGCAATTCACAAAAACCACAGTTTGGCCTCGTAATGAAATTTCTCATTTGTTTTCGGGTTCCTGGTTTTCGTCGTAGTTTCTGTCGGTTCATTTTCCGCTTTCTTTAAACACCATTTCTTTTTATCTGGTAGGGTTTGTATTGGTTTACTTTTTGAAGCATGGGTTTTGTTTCAATTTAAACAGTTTTTACTAAAACTAAAACTTTACAGTTTTTTTTAGTTATTCAAACCGTTTCAGTTTGTTATATTGACTTAGTTATTTCATTTTGCGTAATTTAGAGGGCAGAATGTATCCGCTTGGGATTATGTGTTGCAGTTTGGATGGGGCCTAAAAACTTTAAAATTTAATGAAATTTTTTTTGTGGCAACAGTTTAGTTTTCGGCTCAACCAGTTTCGCCCTTAAGTTTGTCGCATTTGTTGCCGCTCGGTAAATGATTTCCGTTTTCAGGGCTTTTTATGAGCTTCATCTGATTCAAATACGTTAAACAAGTTTTTCTCGCTGTAATTTTTTTCTTTTCAAGTAATTTTTTCCAACTTTATTTCAGATTTTTTAACTTATTTTTTCTTTTATTATTTTGTAGCGCAAAATGTTTTTTTTTGTGCATCGCAATAATTGCAAAGCTCCGCTTCGCCTCTGTGTTTCAAATATGCTGCACTAACGTCGCAAGGTCTGGTCAAGAATTGCTCGCTTTCTTAACGGTTTGCAAGTTTTGTTCCGATGATAGTTTAACATTCAGTGTCCTAGTTGTTTTCTGGCGCTTGAAATGTGCTTTGTTCAACAAATCGAATCCAAAGTATGAAGTTTTTGGTAGATACTGTTTTTTCCCATTACATTTTCTGTTTTCGTTTACCCCATAGATTTCGTCTCATTTTCTGTCGGCTTGTGTGTCATGCTATGTTTTCTTTGTAATGCAAGTGGCTTGAAGCTCCTCATCGCATCTGTTCATATAATTATTTCGGAATTTCTGAGAATGGGCCCTCGCCCGCAATTGAATTAAAAAAATTGAAACGGACCAATACCGGTATTTTATTGTTCGCAATTTAAATTCATTTCGAAGCATTTTTTGAATCCCAGCAACTGCATTCCAATTTTTTTTTTACTTCTCAAACTTATTCAAATATTAATTTTTGTTTCAGATTTTGATCTATTTATTTAGCTCTCCAAGGTAGTTTTTCCGAGAAAATATGGGTTGTTAAGACTTTTAGATTTTATAGCTGTTTTTGCTTCCAAATCCTTTTTTCTCAGAAACGCTTGAAACTTTTAGATAATTGAAACTTATTTGCTTCCGAAACTTGTTGTTTTTTTATTCAGAGACGTTGGTATATCTTTAAGTTTGTTTAAAAAACTTTCCCCTCACTCTTGTGTTCTTAGATTTTTTTGTACATATTTTGGAATAATATAAATTTAAAACTGAAACTTGTTTTCTCAGAGAAGCTTAATCATCTTTGTTACGCAAAGATTGTGTTCTCAAACACATAAGTACATCTTTTAGATAATTTAAACGTTTCTGCTTCCGAATTGTTTTTTCTCAGAAACGCTTGGACGTATTTTAGATAGATGAAACAATTCGTTTTAATAGCAATCGTATAATTTTTTTTGATGTGTTAAACGTATTTTCTTGCAAAACTCGTTTTCTCAGAAACATTTGTACAGGTTTTAGATGTTTTGAACGTTTTTTCTTAATATCTTTTTCTCAGAAACTCTTGTATATCTTTTTTGCTTTTAATATTTTTTCTTCTGACACTTGTTTATTCAAAGACGCTTAAACAACTTTCTGACGTCTTACAAGTATTTGCCTACAAAGGTTGTTTTCTCAGACACGCTTGTACATCTTAGATGCATCAAATGATTTTGCCTCATGAAATTGTTTTTTTTTCAGGAATGCTTATACATTTTTTAGCTGTTCTCAACGTTTTTGCTCCAGAAATAGTTTTTGCTTCCAAATCCTTTTTTCTCAGGAACGCTTGAGACTGTTTTAGATAATTGAAGCTTATTTGCTTCCGAAACTTTTTTTTTGTTCAGAAACACTGGAATATCATTAAGTTTGTTTTAAATGTTTCCCCCTGAATCTTGTGTTCTTAGATTTTTTGTACATATTTTTGTTTTGAATTTATACTCTTCCGAAACTTGTTTTCTCAGAGAAGCTTTATAATCTATCTGACTTTTTACACGTGCTTGCTTGCAAAGATGTGTTCTCAAACACATAAATACATCTTTTAGATGTTTTAAACGTTTCTGCTATCGAATTGTGTTTTCTCAGAAACGCTTGGACGTCTTTCAGATAAGTGAAACTTTTGGGCTTCGACAAGTTGTTTTAATGGAAAAGTGTCTGATTTTTTTTTTGATGTGTTAAACGTATTTTTTTTTGCAAAACTCGTTTTCTCAGAAACGTTTTTACTTGCTTCTCAATATCTTTTTCTCAGAAACTGTTGTGTATCTTTTTTGCTTTTAATATAATTTCTTCTGACTCTTGTTTATTCAGAGACACACACCTTTCTGACGTCTTGCACGTATTTGCCTACAAAGATTGCTTTCTCAGAAACGCTGGTACATCTTAGATGCAGCAAATGTTTTTGTCTCAGAAACGCTTGTACATCTTTTAGCTGTTTTCAACGTTTTGTTCGACAATATTTTATCTCAGAACTGCTTGTAGAATTTTTAGTTGTTTTAAACGTATTTGCTTGCAATAATTGTTTCCTCGGAGACTCTTGAACATTTTTATATAGTTCCTTCAGATATTTTAATTGTATATGCTAACGAAACTGATTTTGCATAATTGGATGTTTATATTTTGCTGTTTTAAACAAATTTGATCCTTTAAGCTGATTTCTAAGAAAATCTTGACCCTCTCTCAGATGCTTCAAGTGTTTTTGCTTCCGAAAAAAATCTCAGCGTCGAGGAGAACCGGTTTGAATTTTTTTTCGCCTAATTTTGACCGAATAAAGTGATAATAACTCGTTAAGTTGGTTATTTAGACCTAACAGAAACCAGTTTTGAAAGCTATATTTGGCACTTCCACGGCAAAAAAAAAATATTTAAGAATAGTTAAAAATATAGTTCAAAAAATGTCGACTTTTTTCATTTTTTGTTTGTTCTTGTTTTGAAGAAAACTGCTATCGATTATGCCTAATTTACTAACTTTTTACAAAAACGACACTAGTTTGAAGAACTTAAAAATTTGAAAAACTTTTGTTTGTAGTTTTTATGAATATGGTCGGAACATTCTGTGCTACTTGCACAGCAACCGGCTATCCTTGTTGTGATTTGAGTTTATAGTGTTTTGGGATCTTATGAAAGCTTTCTTATCTGTTCAAGGCTGTCAAATAAATTACCAATTCAACGTTTTTTTTCAGGTTTCGATCGGGATGGGGATGCCATGGTTGAGTGCAACAACAGACGGGCCGTTTTGAAACCCTTAGTTTTGTCGACTATCCCAGATGATGAAGTAATTCCAGAGAAGGGAGACAACGCCCGACTACTCAGTTCAGAAGGTGAGATTTTTGTTTATTCTAAGGCAAGGGCTAATCTAGGGCTAATCTAATGGTATTTTAATCTAGGGCTTATCTAATGGTATTTTAATCTAGGGCTAATCTAGGGATTTTTTTAATCAAAATTATTATTGCCTCCATCTTTTTTAGATTGACCAAATACATTTTCCGATTCTATTCCAAAACAATAAAAGACCAAATTTTGCAATTATGCCGCTTGCAAAATTTCGAAAAAATAGGCCAAACGGAGGGGGGGGGGGGTGGTTTGTGGGTTTGGACACCCTTGTGTACCATAAAGATGGCAATTGTAAACAATAAATTAATTAGCAAATGCTATGTGCTAGCTTTTGCAGATCACCCTGAGGTTTCTGACATGGTCGGTGTGGTGTTTGAAATTGTAACTGACGACAATGTCATAACTTGCAAAGTTGCATTCAGTGACACTGCTGGATCAGAAGCGAAAGTCGCCGAGATACAACGAGAGCATCTCAAATGGTGAGCAGTGTCATGTGTTTCGAAAAGGCAACACCGGTGGGTCTCCAAAAAAAAAACTTTTTTAGCTTTCATGTTCAATGAATCCGGTTTTTATGAATCGATTGCTAGACTTTAGTGAGCGTTAGTGTAATACTGCGACTATTCTTTTTTCTAACCTAAGTCGCAAATATTGGTGCCACTTCTGGCGCACTTTTACGGCTTTTTGATAGAATTTGCTTTGATATTCGAATAGTAACGAGTTAACACAGTTGATACATAGCCGAGTTTATACTAATTTTAGTCTCATTTCTACTTTTTCTTATTGCACTTTATAGAACTGCTTTTTTTTTCGTGTTCTCGCAAGTGTTTGTGAAACGAATTTCACCTCTGTATGAAATGTGAGCTTTGCTATCTCGCCATGTTTTAGGTTTTTCAACGTACATTTTTGCATGTTTAACAAAAAAATTTCTCGCATCGTATATTGCAATGCTTAAGAAATTTTTTCAATTTTCCCGTTTGAATTCGTGATTATATCACCAAGCTTAAAATTAGCAAGCCAACAGTGGGTTGCTGTCGCGGTTCCCGTAGTGGTTGCGAGTTTGGCTTCCAAATATGAATATGCGTTCCTAGCCAACTTAGCCTGGAGGTAACGAATATGGAGGTTCCTAGCCAACTTAGCCTGGAGCTTGGACCGCAAAGGTTTTGACCAGGAACTGTTTTTTTTTAAACTGGAAATATTCTGTTTCAATTAAAATTGTCGGCCAATTGTTTGCATGCTTACTTGTTCCCGGATAAGTTGTCACATTTTGGAGAGTTTTTTTTACTGCGCGCTTTTTCTTTCATGTTTCTTTTAGTGTTCTTCGTTTTTTGTTTCGCTGAAAAATTCCTTAGACCAAATTAATGCGGCCTAATTTTTATCGTCATATTGACTTAGTTTTAGATTTAACATAATTTCAACACTCTTCTTCGCACTTTTCAAGGTGGTGAGGTGGTTTGTTGAATTTTTTTATAATGAAAAATTGTTTCCCAATTTATTTAGTTTTTCTCAGCAACTTCTACTGATTTTCAAAAAATTGGTATCAATTGAAGGACCGCCTAATCCCCTGTGAGCCTGCATGCTCCTCTAGGGTCTTTTTGTTTCACCCTCTGTCTACATTTTTCGAAAATGTCTGTGGGTGAATATTTGACCCTTTTTTTTTAGGGGAATGGTCGACCCATATATTTTATTTTTCAGTTTTTCGAAAACAAACCCTCGCAAATCTGAGTTTTTATTTCAATGAACAGAACATTTTGAAAAGTTTTCTGCATATGCGGCTACGCCCAGTTTTTTACACATAAAAATATGGTCCTCGGAATAGTCTTTGAGTTATGAGTTTGACCGTTTTGTGGATCTTTTTGAAATTTCTCCAAAACTACCCTCTCAAATCTGATATTTTGGGTTCAATGGAGATAATGGGCGGTGGGATGCTCCCTTGCTTTAGGTTATATTCAGAAAATTTCTTACACACATAGTTATCTTCCTCCTAAAAGTCAAATTTTTGATTTTTTGACCGTTCGTTAATATTTTCGAATATTCTCAAAAAGTTCCCTGTCATATCTGAGATTTTGGGTTCAATTCAAAAAAACGGCTGGTGGGAAGCTCATATGTTCATGCGACTACGCCCAAAGTTTTCTGGTACCAAAGTTATGGTCTTTGGAAACTTTTGATTTTTTCACAGTTTTTTTTTGTGAACGTTTTTTTTTCTCAAAAACTACCCTGCCAACTCTGAAATTTTGGATTCAATCGAAATTACAGATGGCACAAATTCCTTCGACTTAAGCGGCTACGCCCCATTCTACTCAAAAAGCTATGATTCTCGCAAATAGTAAATGTAAATTTTTGATTCTTTGACCGTTTTTGGACTTTTCTCGCTAGCTATCTTGCCAAATCTGATATCATAGGTGTAATCGGAAGAATAAATTGTTGAAAACCGACGTTTATGATTGGCTGTGCCCAGTTTGTGTAAGAAAAAGTTATGACCTGCAAACAAGTATCGAAACTTCGACGGTTGTTTGGATCTTTTGGACTTTACGCTAAAACTACAGTGCTATTTATCACGTTGTCTTCAATCGAGAAACCCAATTTAGAGAACCTTCTCAGTTTCAGCGGTCACAACCTGCCTTTGCAAAAAAGTTGTGGATTTTGGAAAGTCTTTTGACCGTTTTATAGAAATTTTTTGAATTTTCTTTTAAGTTACACAATCAAATCTGAAATGAAAAGTTCAATTGAAAAAACTGGCTGTGATACTTGTTCTTGCAGAAACAGCGACGCCCTAATATTTTTAAAAGAAAAATGTTATCTCTGGGAAAATTTAGTATCTCTTCTTTTATATTAGTAAAAAAACAACTAAGAATTTGGGCAAAGTCAAATTTTTGAAATCAAGTTTTCGTGTCGCATCAGTATAGCAAATTCATTCAAACTCAAGCGCGTACCTCTAGCTTTAGGTGGGTCCTTTGTTGATTTTTATCGAGACATACGAAAATTTTGCTTCAACTATTTTTCGTAACATTAAATTGTTTTTCGACTCATGTTCTATATGCTTGTGTTGTATCGCAAGTGTGCAAAACTCCGCTTCGCCTTTGTGTCAGAAAATCTACTTTTGAAAATTTAAAGTCTCTTTTCCAGTTTCTCACTCCCCTCATCAAATTATAAAAAATGCCGTTCAAAATTGTGCACACGGCAATTGGCATGAGAGAAATGTTGTAAAAGTTTTTCCATCTGTTCATGCTGACAAGCTTATTGCAGTTTATTTTTTGAAAACATAAAAAGTCATTTTCAGACTGTTACGGTATTCGCAGAATTTAAAAATTTTTCCTCTTATTGTGACTGCTAAAATCTTTTAATTTTCGAGGTATTACATATTATTATGTTTTTCTTAAAAAGTTCTCAAAAAAATTATTTAAACAATTTCACGATTTGTACTTCCCAATTCTATAGTTAGATGCTGTGAGGGTGCTCTCAGGAGTTGCAAATCTTGCTTCCAAATATGACCGCTCAAAACCTAATTTTTCGAAATATGACGTTTCTTATGATTTTCTCCAAAAATTTTCAGAAAATTGGGATTTAAAACTTTTAATTAATTATATTTATAGCATAATTTCCTCTCAAACTCTCTGGAGGGAATAGTTGACCCAATTTTTAAAAATTTTTTTGCTTTCTCGAAACCACCCACCCATATGTGGGAACTCAGTTTCAATAGATAGAATTTATTTCGGACAGTCTCCATGCCTAAGCAGTTACACCCACTTTTTATCAAACAATTGTTCGACTTTTGAAACATCTATTTTTCTCTAGAACCACACAATCAAATTTGAAATGTGAATTTTTGTAGATATAGTTATTTATCACTTTTTTCAGCTTTATTTTTTCAAAACATGATTTTTTATCAACATCTATAATGCATTGTTTTTTTTTGTATCGCAAAAACTGATTGTTGTTTTCTGTGTTAATTGTAGTGGTTTTTGGGTATTGAAAATTTGCGGCGTCGCAAGTGGTGCAAAGCTAGGCAAAAAAAATCTATTACTTTCGTTCACCCATCAAAAAAAAATTGTAGAACGCCTGTTTGAGACTCGAAGGGCCTGGGGCTCGATTCCGATCATGACCTAATTTTCTTTTTTGGCTTGAACAAATGAATTTTTTGAACTACCGTGCGTCTTGTTCATTGTTTGACAGCGTAGCTACTGCAGCTTCAACTTTTTTCACTAAGTTAACCGACTTTGATATTTTTGAGCTTCATGTTTACACAAAAGAGCTAGCAAACATAATGCTATATTGGAAAAGCATTTTTTTCCAGCCCAACACGAAAATAAAAGAGCTTATTTTGCGCAAAGAGTTGGCATTTTATTAGCATTGGTTTTATCGGGTTCATTGGTGGCTTGCATTTGTGGCTTCCAATTTCCAGATCGGCGGTTTTATACCGGCAGATAGCTAAATTTTTTGAAGACCTACTCTGACCTTCAAATCTGAAATGAAAAGTTCAATTGAAAAAACTGGCTGTGATACTTGTTCTTGCAGAAACAGCGACGCCCTAATATTTTTAAAATAAAAATGTTATCTCTGGGAAAATTTAGTATCTCAAAGTGTTATACTCTTCTTTTATATTAGTAAAAAAAAACAACTAAGAATTTGGGCAAAGTCCTTCGCTTTTTTTCGTTCAAATTTTTCTGATGGCTACTTTGAATAGTTTTCTCGCTTGGTTGCAAAAAGCACTTTCGCCGCAGTGTTCGAAGTTGTTTTATACTGATGCAAGGTACGTATGTTAAGTTACTGAATATATGTCCAAAATTTTTTAAATAATTTTACAGAGATGAATGCAAGAAGCATTGATTTTATTTGAAAACAGGCTCTTGTCGTACCGAAAAACCTCATTTAGTACTGTTTTTTCCGGTATTACTGTGTTTTTAGTACTGTTTGTTCCTAATAAGTACAGAATGTTTGTACACAAATCTATTTGAGACAGCAAAAACTAGTTGGAATCAGTGAAGCACTGTCAGGGTACTTTCAGGCATTGCAAATCTTGCTTCCAGATTTGACTGCTCAAATCCTTTTATTATCTGAGGTGTTACTTTTTTTCATTAAAAAAATTTTCAGAAAATTTGATTTTATCATTTTTTTAAAAATTTGGAATTCTCAACCCTGTAGTTGGGTGCTGTCAGGGTACTATCAGATGTTGCAGATCTTGTTTCCAAGTTTGACTGCTCAAATCATCTTAGTTTACGAGATGTGCCGTTTTTTATGATTTGTCAAAAATTCGAAGCACCGGAGGTGCGTTACACGCTAGTCACATTGAATCAGGGGCGGATCTAGGATTTTCTTGAGGGAAGGCAGATTTTCTAAATAAAGGTTGGAAAATTTGTCGACATTTTTATGTCGCTAAATTAATTTTCCGAGCTCTTCCTAAAACTATAAAAACGCTACTATAAAATTTTAAGCGCAGCAGGCGATTTAAAAAAAAACAACAGTCCAAAAATGCCGTTTTTGACCAAAAACTCTAAAACTCGTTTTGAATATTGTCCTGTTTTTCAAAATTTTAAATTATATTATTATTACCCTTGCGGTAAGCAAGTGTATTGCAATCGGCTGCTAGGCTTTTTTCCACACAAATAATTTTGTTCACAGGGTTCACTGAACTCATTTCCTGGAAGCTTCCTTTAGCAACAAATTTACTGCACCAGACATATTTTGATGGTGATTTCAGCAAATCGATTTGTTTAAATTTCATTTTTTTGTTTTTCTTTCTTTTTTTTCTGTTTAACAGGGTTCACCCTACATTATGTCGGCTTCGTGGCCTCATATGGCTGCGTTCAACGAGCGAAATTTTTTTTTGTGCATGTGTGTGTTTTTAGGAACTTAATAATGTCTTGTTTTTTTGAATTTTTTTCTGATACAATATTTCGGCTTTGTTACCGCTTGTTAAATTTTCTTCCGAGGCTAAATTCTCATTTTATTGTCTTGGCATGCTTTCGTTTCAAAACTAGCTTTATTCATTTTGTTAGCTTAGTTCTTTGACATTTTCGTTTTTTTTTAATTTCGAAATTTACCTCTGTAAATGCTGTCTTCATGCAGGGTGAAATGTGACGTAATCGGAGCAGGCGATGACGTCATAGTCGTGAACTGTGAGGAGGCCGTGAAGACACTGCAAGAGGGACACGGGGAGTACCATGAAGCCATGAAGCACTGTCTGGGCAAGAAAGGCATAGTGAAGAAATTCAACGACAGGGCAGACGCAGTCGTTCTCTTCGACTCAGTTTCCGGTTTGAGAAAATAAGTTGTGGAGTGCGGTCAAAAAGTAGACAACCTTTATTTCATGCCGGACAAAAATAGACAATAATATATTAACCAATCATAATCGAGAATCGAGAACATTAAGTAAACTTGTGAAACAAATAATGGGGGCTATTCTTATGCGCGAAGGACCGAATAGGCGAAAAAACTCGTGAGCGAAGGACCGAAAACAAAATTAGTCGAAAGTCAATTTTTAAAAAGAAGCAATTGCCATTCAATTAAAATGATTTAAATGAAGCAATATTTTGCTTCTTTCGTAACGAAACAGCCCTTGGATTAGAAATTTGTTCCAATTCGGCGGCGGTCAGTGACAATTTGAAATTTTGCATATTTCTGCCGTTATCATATTCGGCCAATATCAATATTCAGTCCCTGGAAATGTTTAGTTTCCTTCCAAATTTTAGATTACTGAAATCTGATTGGCTGATTTTCATTTTTGCGCATTTGGTCCTTCGAGTATGAGGGATTCCACCTGTAGATTTTGGGGATTGCTTCTCTAGGTCCGTTCACACACTCTAACTTAACGGCACCGCAAAGTGGTCCCTATGGTAATGAATTCAGCGGGGCGACGGAGATTCACTACTATCCACAATTCCGAAAGGGTTAAGTTGGTGGCAACTGTTCTGTACTGTATTCTGTTACTTTCGATTCTGCCCTTTTGATAGTGCTCCTGTGGCTGTCTCGTCCGCTATCACCGATCGCAAGAAATTCTAGTTATAATTTAATTCAAATAAAATATTGGTCCAAATGCAGTAGGCTCTAGGCGGCCAGAGTATAATCTAGTAATCTAATCAAAAAGAAACGGTCCGCGATCAATCAACACAATTACCTAATTGAAATTCAAATTCCAACTAACTTAGCTAACAGTTCTCTCTTCTCTAGAGAAACTTAATTAACGAATTATACACAGTAATTCCGTCAATCTCAGTCTGACCTGCTAAAACAGTAGTGTCACTAAGAATCACTCGTCCTTTGAGGTACTTTGACTGATCTCTTAACTCCTAACTCGCGATTCCTGATTCTCTAACTCGGAGAACCAACTAGACTCTCTCTCACTATCAATTGCTCTCCAATTATTGAGAACCCTACCTTTCTGACTCATAGCTAATTTTTGTTCTCTAACTAATGATAATCAACTACTCTTAATAGTAGCTCGCACTGTTCTCACTTTAACTGAGAACCAACTACTCTCACTAGTAGCTCAACTGTTCTCTAACTAACTGAGAACCAACTACTCGTAATAGAAGCTCGACTGTTCTCTAACTAACTGAGAACCAACTACTCGTAATAGTAGCTCAACTGTTCTGCCTAAGGGTAGGCAATTTGTTATTCTCTATAATGTTTGCCTATTTGAGTTATAGTTAGAGTTATGTCGTCCCCACAAGTCCTGACATTTACTTTGGTACCCATTTCGCAAGTTTTAACTGAATTCTTACTCGTACGACACTATTCTTAAATTCCAATTTTATTATAGGTATCTCTAACTAAGGTAATATCAAATAACAATATCAAGTCCAATTTCACCTCCAAACCGAGTTATGCTTAATTAACCAATCTCCCAAGCTTTTATTTGATTATTCCATTAACGTTCCGACCTCCCGAGGGAAAGGGAAGATCCTTTCTATGGGTCGCTACTTCATTTCGAGCATCTAAAATTCCGATCTATACTCTATTCAAATTCCGACGTTCTAGATATCAGGGGAACTTAATTCGCTTATTAGGGGTCAATTTGTTCTAAAAAGCCATCTCCGGAGCTGGGTAAAAATCTCGTCCATTCATTTTATTTAGCAGACCTACTTCCCATGCTATGTTCCTATTACCGCAATTTCCTCTGGAACTACTTGTCTATAGTCAGATTGAATTTCTATTAATAGCGCATTCGCCAAGCTAAGTTGAACTCAATGTTTGCCAGCCCATTTTAGTTAGTTGCACTACTTTAATCATACAATGAATGCGTTATATCTCTCTCAGCTTCTGCTCCTTTTCCCAATAGGTAAGTTCCCTCCCAAATAATAGTAGGGTGACCTATTCTCATTCCCAAGGGCTGGGGTTGGGTTTGAGTAATACGCCACTTTCCGATGTGAATCCCAGGGTTTTTTACGCAATTTTGGTCTTAATCGCCCAAAGGTCATTTAAAGGTTATTCCGGAGTCAATCTTCCTTATTCAGGTTTAGAATTCCATAAGGGTCCTACCTACCAAGTTTAATCCATATCCCGTTAATACTTCCCAAGTTATCCCATTCAGGATGTCAATTATCACTTTTCCCGGGAAAAGGCCATTAGCACCTAAAGGAGTCGCCTAGGGGTCATCGGTTTCACTCATTAAGGATCTTTTTTCGAGAATGATTTGTATTGTCTACTGCCGCCATAAAATCAATATGCCCTTGCTCTTTTTTTGCGTAAGTTGCCTATTTCCGGTTTCAGGGGTACTTTTCCTTAGTGCTAATAACTTCAGGTCCAACCGCCGGATATGGCTCAAATTATAACACATGATATACTTCGTTACTACCTATGATGTCTTAAAATTCTAGCTTCCTGCGTTCAGCGGTGTCCGAGAAACGACTCCCGGAAGTCGGAGTGGGGACTACTCGCATGGGACATAGCACCGGAAGCAGGGGTCCTGGGGGTCTGGGGTCCTCAACTTGAGCTTCCCCAACTAGGTCTATAGCATACTATATTTTGGTTCCTATCCAACTCCTAGTTGCCGAGTTCTAATAGGGCCATTTGCACTTCCTGGAACCGTTATCACTTGGGGCCTGGTCAAATCATCTCTTGTATCCGTTCTATGAGCTTCACAAGGCTAGCCCCGTTAGTTTTCATTTGGGGGGAGGGGTTCGCCGATCTTACTTCACCTGAGTTTTCCGCCATAAGAGGGACTATATTTTCGAAGATTCAACTTATTTTGGACTTGACTGTTTGTTTACCTTTCTAGTTATCTTATTGATTTGTCAATACCGAGCTACGTAGCATGCATTAGCTCACGGTAAACTCCCAATTGAACTCTAAGTTTGACAAAAAAGTATTAGGATCACCGATCCTACACCACCTTAATAATTAATAATTACTCATTTCTGAAGTTTGCTTCCTGTTCTCGGTTCTGATTGGTTAATATAGTATTTGTCTACTTTATGGTCTATCTACTATATGACTTGTCTACTTTTTGCTACGTAACCATGTGCTGTATAGTTAATCTTTAACCACCCAGCTCACAAACCGCGGCATAGGTCTTTTTTCCCCGGCCGATTTATTGTATCTCAGGGGGCTCATCATATTAAAACCATGCTGTTACTCGTGATTTGTATTTTTTTTGCAGAAATTCAAAATTGTTTTCCCAGTGTGTCACTGTGGTTTTAAGCTGTTTTGAATTTTTACTATTCAGACCAATTTAGAGCAACACTGTTTTAAAAATTGGGCTTCAATATAACTTGTTTTTCAGATCCATTTTGTGTTTGTTTTTACTATTTTGTCAATTAGAGGTTTGAAAAGTTTAACATAAAATTTTAACAAGCAAAAATTCTACTGTCTTTTCTTTTTCTGTTGATGTGTTTCTGCAAAAGTAATTGGTCGGAACATTCTGTGCTACTTGCACAGCAGCCGGCTATCTTTGTTTATCGGATCGTTTTGATAAACATTCAAATCACAAAAAAGCTAGGTTGAACGCAATTTCAGTCAAATGACACGTAAATCAACAAATGCAAAAAAAAACATTGCTGGTTTCCGCTGGTTCTGACTATTGGGCAGGTTGTGTGGTGAAACCTCGACCCGGGCCACGATCGTGCAATAGCCTCAGTTGCTAGCCTCAGTTTGTACTGTTCACAAGAGAAAAGGACACCGGTTTTTGCCAAAAACTTGCAGCTAATTAAATTGCAGTTCGTTTGCACTTCTAACGTAAATAATGTCTCTATGGACAGACAAACTATTGTATTTTGCTTTCTTTTCAGAGCTCGGAGCTACTGGCGCAGCCTTAATTCTTAACACTTCCCTTCTGCGCAATGTTTCGCCCCCCGATATCCATTTCGCCGTGGGGGACAAGATCAAAGTGACAAGCAATGCCAAAAAGTTCAAGAGAATTCAAAAGCACAGAGTTCAAAACTGGAAAGACGCCTTCAAGCGACTCGCTGGTCGTTCGGCTACTGTCGTTGATGATTCCCTCACTTCTGGCAAAATAGGGGTGAAGTTTGTTGGAATCGACGAGGTGGTGACAACAAGCAAAAAGGTCATTGACCGAAATGAAGAGGAAGAATTTTTTGAGGGCGAGCGAGTGGTGTGTCTGCTCTCCAGTGATCAGCTGGAAAATTTGTTGAAAGACGAGACGTACAAAGCGTACCAAAATGAGGTATACTATAGTTAAAAACAATTTAGTTTCCAACAGTTTAAATATTCGAAAAAAAATCTAGGGCTTCTAAAACAGCATTGGTTATATGTGTGCTCTTTTTTGCGCTCTCTCGAAAAAACAAAATCAATTTCAATTGAAAGTTCAGAAGATTTGCGCACGACCAATTTGGCCTGAAAAAAATGTACGTATCAAAGACCATTGTGAAGACACTAATTTAGGTTCTTGTTAGAATAAAATTTTAGAAGTTATTCACGCTCAAATTTATTTAATCGCGGCTTGACGTTTGTTTTCTTCTTTCCACATGAAATAGGGTTACAACTGCTCATATCAAGGCGAAGCCTGTAATGTTCCGACTGTATTTTAAAGTCTATGGAGAAGTGTTCGCTTTAAAAAACTGATGAAATTTTCAAAAAAAAACACTGAAATAATTTTGATTTTTTTTGGAACTAATACTTCGCATATAAGACGGGTTAAGTCTCCGCTTACGCGTTCTTAGCACGAAACATTTTGCGCGTTAATTACCCCAAATTGGCAATCTTTAAGCCGCCATAAATTTACAAGACTGCTCGTATATCAGGGCGAAGCTCTGAATGTTTCGATTGCACTTTAAGGCCAATTGAATATTTTTTTGTTTAAAAGTTGACCTAAATTGGAAAAAAAAGTATTTTTTTTTCGTTTTCTTAAAGTTCATCCCCTCACACGCTAATGTAAATTAGAAAGGGATGTAGTTAGCGTCTTGTATCTTAATAGTACAGCAGTTGCGCATTCATTTCGTTGCTCATGCGTGTTATATGGTTTAATATATCGCGCGTCAATTATCTCAGATTGGTCAAATAAGCAATTTTCAAACCGTCATAACGTTAAGAAAAATGATGGTGATATATATTTTTGTTTTTGAGCTCAGAAAAACATTATTTTCTTCCGTCAAAATAGCTCAATTAAAAAGTTGAAACTTAACTGAATTAAAAACACCGCAGCGTAAATTTTCCGCACTTCCTTCGAAAGTCGGAACAGAAAATGATCACAGGTAAATTTTTTTATATAATGTGATCTCAGGACAACAAAATTTTTATAATGATGTAAGAAACCGTCAAAAGGTGCTAGTTAGATTTTGTTAGAAAAAACTACCCGGTGCAAAAATATTCCGTCACGTTCTTTGAAAGTCGAAACAAAAGGATATATGTAAAAAAAACGTTGTTCTGTTTAGCAGTCGATGAACGCAGTTCAGGCTCTTATATAGGTCGCAAAGATTTTTTTCAGGAAAAGCCTCAAAATTTGTTCAGGCCCAAGTTTTTTTTTCGCGATTTTACTTTTGATTCCTTTTACTTCATTTCCTTTGTTAAAAGAAAGGCAAACTCCACTATCGAACAGCGAAAGTGTAAAAGTCTTCAAAAATGTGATCGACATTTAGTTTCGAAATAGGTTTTTCAGGTTTCCATTATATTTATTGTCTCAAATCGGGTTAATTTTATCAGAAATATGCCAATCATAAATTGTACTAAAAAATCAAAGAGCTCAAAGAGCCTCTATTTTTTTTCTCGAAAATTGAGATTTTTTCAAAAAAAAGAGGTCAGTATTTTTTGGTCTGTTTACTTGCGTTCATTGACTCGTTTCCAACTGTCTGTTGGCTATGTTCTGTTCAATAGGAAGGAACTATCGTGTCACTTCGAAATGACTCACCACAAGCGAGAGTTGCCGAAGTCGCATTGGACAATGGCACCAAATTCACATTCCCAACTAGCCTGATTTTGTCTTGTGTGCTGCCTGATCCCGACAGTGACGACTCGGACTCGACACCCAGCGCGGTAAGAATAAAAATCAAGTTAAGAGTATAATGTGAACTGAACTGTTTGCCTCTTTCAACTCTCCCAGTTTAGGACCGTTTAAAATAGATTTTGTAAGTCAACAATCATTGAATTTACTAAGTAACATAATGGTTAAATGCGTTTCGATTTTGGGTGAGAACATTCGTTTAATATGGTACAATTTAAGTTAGAATGCTTTGGGCTCAAGAGAAAGGGGCCAACACATGAGTTGATTAGTCCTTCACGGAGAACCGCTGATTCGCTCCTGGTTAAGATACATGCTGTTTTTTGGCATTATTTGGTTTAAATCTGATATACATGCTGTTTTTGGCTATTATTTGGGCTGGGTAATGTTCTTTAACCCTCAAGCAACGAGCACGGATCATGGTGGGCTTCGAACATCCGAGCTTTCGATTGAGAGGCATAGACGTAGACGTAACCACTTCACCAACGCTCCCCTAAAAAAGCTTAAGGTAGTGTGTGTTTGTGTGTGTGTGTGTGTGTGTGTGTGTGTGTGGGTGGGGGGGGGGGGGGTGACGGACAAAGAGCCGCCCTTTCTTTTAATTAGATACCAGAGTACACGTTCTTGGGTTCTTGTCGTGGCCTATCTGTGGGTGACAGGGTCTCAACTGACATGGAGAAGGCTGAGTTCAATCGGGTACAGCAGATCAAAGGTGGGGAGCGCAACGAGCACTTATTCGAAGCTGTGAAAGAAGGCCGGGCGGTCGTGAAAGGTCAGTGGTGAAAAATCATGAGTTTTTTTTCAAATTACATACAAGGGTTGCTGGTTGCTGTACAAGTAGCGCTACAAACGCCATTATGCTTAAAATTTTGAAGAAAAAAAAACCACGAAAAGGCCAAATTTTTTTTTGGTATCTGGAAATCAAAAGCCGATCATCATGAAACGGCGATTAAGCGCTTGATACGTCTAAAAAGCGAGAATGCAGACAAGTTTTTTCACTACCGGTTGTGTTTTTTCAAATTTATTGCAATTGAGTTCCAATGTGGAAAGTCTGTTATATGAAAGTATCAATCGACAATGTACAATTTGTGCGAATTTTCAGCTGATGTTTTGTATTTCTATCCAATCAAACTGCAAACTCAAATGATAAACCGATAAGAATTACCGAACGCTTTCATGCCGAACGCGAAGGTTTTTTTTCGCAAAAAATTAATAATTTACGGAAAATTTTGTTTATTTTGAGTAATCGCAGCTTGTTGATTTGATTTGGATTTTTATCAAATCCATAAAGTTGTTATATTAGATATTCAACAAATTATTTGGCCATGTAATTGCTTTATAGAATTACTCTTTTCGTTGAAAGAAGCTTGGTCTTTTTATCTGAAAAGTAAATCAGCTGTTTTGTGTCTTGAATCTTCTTTTAGGACTCACAACTAAAGGAAAAGTGATTTTGATGAGCGAACCAAACGAGCCTGGACAACTGGCTCATTATATCGGGAAAGTTAGCCGCAGTGGCCTTGAAAAAGATGAAAGAAAAGCTGAGAACGAATGGTTGTTCGTCGGGGATACAGTCAAAATTGCCGCGTCAACAAATGGTATGTGTATTATATGTTTAATAACTGTGCGAAAAAATCGATAAACTTTTTGAGTTGATTAAATATCTGAAGTCCAATTTGTCCGTTTTTTGAGATTTTGATTATATTGAAAAACAATAATTGTAATATTAAGTTTTCCCATGGATGAAATATGTTGTTTGCAGAGACAGAGGTAGCGGATAGAACTGGAAAAATAGTTTCTAAAAGCACGGGAGACGAGTTTTTTGTCTGTCTGGGGGAGAATGAGGATCCGAAATCTTGTTGCAGAAACGAAGTTTCGAGGTGAGAATCAATAAGGAATAATTAAGCGTTCATGAACAAAATGATTATCAAAATTTGATCACGCTCGATTTTACTTTTTCCTGGTTTGATTTTTGATTTCATATTCTGCTAAAAGCAAGAAACATTACGCTTTCTGCTTATAATCTTTGAAATGGTGAAAAAAAATATGAATGATTTGAGTTGCAAAATTGACTAAATTTTCTTTTTTTACCATTTATGAACTTTTGGTTAGTTTTATGAAAAAATTGTCAATCACAATTTATTTTTAAATTTCAAAGACCATGAAGAATTATTGCTCTCCGAAGTTCGAGAAAATGACAAATTAAAAAAAATTTATTTCCGTGCATTCTTTGACCTTTTTTTCAAATGTTTGTTGTCTATATGTTATCATTTTTTGATGCTCGCATGAAATGACATGAAAAAAAGACAAAAAAATTGTTTTCTTCTTACAAAAACAGATATTCAATAAAAATGGAGTACCTGACTCAAAATTTCAAAAATGGCTTCGATTTTAAAAATTCTTAATTGCTCCAAACAACCACGAGTTCTCAAACAAATGATGCTTATGTTTATCACAATCTTTTTTACTAATTACGAAACCTAAATTTATCACAATCTTTTCTACTATTCGTGAAACCTAATTTCCTAAGCACAAAAATTTTGAAGGTAGTCGAATACTTAACTGAGTCTACGTCTTTTTATGAATGTCACTCTAGTGCCCTGGTTTACTTCGGTATAATTTTAAATGATACATTATTCAATTTCATTTTTATATGAAATTCACTGACGTTTAGGTCGCTGGTTCTAAGTGTTTGTTTGCCAACTCTTTTAACTGGCTCATATATATCCAGCTCGAAATTTCTCGCAATTTGGTTTTGTTCCATTTGAGTTTTAACGCTATCACCAAATTTTTTGATGAAAACTTTTTGGCATATTTCCCATTGCAATTTCAGAGATGGGATCAAACTGCTAATTATTATGCATCCATACACGAGCTTGGCAGTTTGAATCCATACACGAGCATCTATACATGAGCTTGTCAGCTTGTCAGTTCGATGAAACATGTTTTTCATACAGTACTTGAGGCCACAACATCTAGCCGCCTTTGATACTGTAATCTGAAAAGGATCTCTTAAGTTTAGTTTCTTATCTACATACCCAAGTTTTCACTAGATTTAACTTATTCCTCTTCACGACCTTTTTTTGTAGATGTCTTTCTGCATTTACCAACTCAAGTTTCATTTTGGTTCAGCGTAGAACTAACGATCAACATTCTCTAGTTGAGTCTCAAAGTATTCATTTCTTATCTTTTTTTGAATTTTAGTTGTATCATCAGCTAACAGGATCGCTTTTTTACCATCACAATACCCAGGTGAAAATTATTGATATAAATCAACAACAGGATGGGACTTAGGACTGAGCTTCAGGGCGCACCAGTTATGTAGGTTTTTATTGAAAAGAGAAACCTCTTAAATTTACTAATTGCAATCGTTTTCTGTACACTTGCGAAACAAAGTGTATCATTACGACCTTTCTTTCTTTTCCAACCTAAGTCTTAAATATGGCCGCTTACACCTTTTTGATAGAATGTGCTTTGAAATTCGAATAGTAATAAGTTAACACACTGGATGCATTTTAAATTCATCAGATGAACCGCAAAAAGCTTTTTGTTTCAAACAACATAACAATAACAAAAAATCGATTTCAGAAATCGATTTCTAACTTAATATATCTCAACTTTTTCTTAGTCAGTTTTTTAAAATGCATAATTTTTACATAATGTGGCTCTATGCTTTCCGATTTATTACATGCAAAGTTAGTGTGGATGCCTTCAGTTTTTAATATTCCGAAGTTCTATTTGCAAAATTGTGTCTTTTTGTGTTTGGTGCTACTTTTGCTGAATCGAATGAGCAATTTATTAGCATACGTAGCTTTGTTATTGGTGGCTAGTTTTTGGAATTTATAAGCATCCGTGGCTGAGTGATTAGTGCATGAGACTCAATTTTGCTAGGTCGCATATTTGAATCCGAGTAGTCGATTTTTTGCTAATTCTTTGTGTAAACGTTTAAACGAAAGTTTTTTTAGAATGCCTTCGCAACTGTATATTTCCAGCTTTAAAGGGGCTCCGCTTGATTTATAGTATCAATCTTTTTTCTTCGTTCTATAAAGCAGCCCGCGGTTTGATATTTTTCACTAACGAAAGCTGAACATTGTCAATACAGAAGCCGTGCCATCAACTGAGGACACGTTGTCATACGAAACTCTGATTGACATTGAAAACACGGAAACTTCATTAAAACTCTATCAACATTTTATAAATATTACGTTCAAAAATTTTTTCACTGAGCTTAGTAATGCTATCGGTCTGTTATAGTTAGCCTTGTGTTCATTCAAATATTAGGATACAACATGACGTGGAGCTTACAGTTGGTGACGAAGTGAGTTTGAGTCCAGACGCGAGGGTGGTTGCAGCGCTTCTTAACCGAGATGGTCTGGCGGTGCCTCGTGATCTTTCTACACTGTCTGGTCTCTTTGGCTTCGTTGAGGATATCACCGAAAAAGGATTCCTCAGTGTCAAGTTTGAAGGTTGCGCAAGTTAAATTTTTAAACAGTCGAACCCATTTGGCAAATTCCAAAAAGCACCACTGAACATTCAATGTAATAAGAAATTAATTTAAAAAATCAAGGAATATGCATTTAAAAATTTTTAAACCAGTTTAGGGAGAATGTCGTAAAATTTTGCAGCCGTTGTCAACGCTATTTCCAGCAATCTTGTTGAAAAACGCTTTTTTTAGACTCGCCTCTCTCATTCTCTCTCCCTCTCGAGTTTTCTGCAATAAACATGCGAACTTTTTGATCAAAAAAATTATTAAGGTACAAAACGAAAATTTTAAATTATGATTTTTTTTGTATTTTACAAGAGCTGCTTAAACATAGCACAGAGGACGCTAAGTTCTTTCCTTTGATGAAAAAAGTGATAGCGAGAGAAAAATCAAGGCCGATTAAAAACTGGGCAACATATTTTTATGATTTAAATTTCACTCTGAATTAAAAGTCTGCTGGTAAACTGATAGACCGGGTTTGAATTTTTAGACTACGAGGAAAATAATTTCGAGAACGCTGCCGAACCAATTCTTCTAAGCCACGATGCCGTATTCAAAACGAAACCGACCCAATTCTACAAAGTGGGAGACAAAGTCAAACTTATCGATCACGTCAGTCGAATCAAGTCGAATCAGAAGAACCATGGCGAGTGGTCGCCTAGGATACAAGAAGGCTTCGGTAAAGTGGGTTCGGTGGTTCAAGTGATTGACAGCTACGGGACCGGCAGAAAAGGTGAACAGGATTACGGCCCATTCGCTTGACAGAAATTCCAAAAGCGCGAAAAATTTTACCCGCGCCTATTTTTCACAATTTTGGACGATAATTTTTTTTGGGTGATCGATATTTCTAGCAAGAGGGATTCAGTAGCCCGATCTTTATAAGTTTAGATATCGGAAACTTTATCTCTTTGGTTGTTCAGTTTATTTGATGAACAACTTGGACTAATTTTAGCTGAAATAATCAGTGGGCCTCAATTTTTCAAAACTTTGGACCTTTTTGGTCCTTATTTGCTGTTTTCTGTGGACAAATTTGTCAATAATTTCAAGGAGTTGTATGTTTTTTGAGAACTAACAAACAAAAAACCTCAATTTGGTTCGGTGTGTAACTTGGGGATTCGTTTTACAAGTTTAGGTATATCAAGTTAAATCGATCCCTTAGCGAGCTCCGCGTAAGTTTCTTTGGTTTGATAGAACTTTCTTGTGCACTGAAGCTTACATTGATCTAATGACAATCTCCGAGCAATTTCGCAGATTAGGTAATTGAGAAGGTTTAAAATAATAATTTGGCTCTGAACATTTGGCTCTGTACATCCGATCTTTTCTATGTTTAAATACTAGCGACCTGAAGTTCCCGGGTATTTATAAAAGGACTTAGACTTTCTGGGTCTCGAAATTAAAATCAATCTTTAGAAGACGTCTTAAAATAGGTGTTTGGTATATAAGTTAATTGTTGTGATAAACTTATTAAATAGATTTGGACTGTACACTGAGATAATTCTTACACCTTACTGGGAGCTGTCATGATGTTGAACATTATCAAAGAAAATATCAACCAACTGTCGAATGATATTGATCCATCTTTGAAATCAATTCTGCAAGATCTTTTATCCCATGTTGAAACTCAAAGCGGCACCATTGCAAACATGAAAAATGAATTAATTTTTCTGAAGAAAAAAGTAAATGATCTGGAGCGCTATTCCTCGAAAGATTGTATCATTATAAACAATTTACCTCTGCGACATGGCTCTGATTATGTAGAAGATGTAATCGCATTCTTTCGTGAAGCAATTGACATCTATGTGCCTCGTGATTCCATGGTAGCGTGTCACCCTCTAGGCCCAATTCGCGACATCAAAAACCCCCCAGCCGTTATTGTGAAATTTGTCTATTTTGATGTCAAAGACCGTATCTGGGCAAGGAAGCATTTTTTACGACATTATCTCAATCAGATCAATAAAAAACCTGTATACCTTTTTGAGAGACTGACAAAGAGAGATTCGGATTTACTCGACTATATGAAAGGCCTTAATTTGAAAACAACAACGAACAACTGCGCACCGCAAGTCTTTATAAAGCGTGAGAACGGGAAGGTGTTCACTCATAATGTTGCAGACTCGGTTGATGCGGAAACGTTGCTTGCTTCTGGAAAAGCGCAAATTTTAGCAAAGAAGAGAAAATCAATTTTTCAATTAGGAAATCAAGATGCAACGATGAGGCTAAATGTCAACACGACAACGCCAAAAAGAGTGTCTCCGCCAACTCCCGGGTCGGATCAGCAAATCCTTGATTATGTTAAAAAGCACAGAAATGAACCTGAGAAAATTGTGCAGTATGTTGATAACTTAGCAAAACAATCTCCTCAAACTGAGCTTCATTCTAATGTTAGCAATACTTCAAGTGTGTTTACTGTAGAAGACAGTGGTTAAGTATTTAAGACAAGACAGCCTCAGTAGGGACTTTTATTCAATCTCATTTTTATTTTATTTCGTTTTATGTCCCCAACGTCATTTACCCAAGTTCTTGAGGCTGTTTCATTACTAAATGTTAACGTGCGATCACTCAAATCTAATTTTGAAGCCTTTAAAGTCAGTCTTGAGCAACTTGCAATAGCCCCATCTGTTATCGCTGCCACTGAAACTTGGCTGAACCCTAATGATTCAGCCGAGTTGTTCAATTTGCAAGGATACAAGTTTTTCTCGAGCCCTCGGCTGAGCAGAGGAGGTGGAGTAGGTTTATATATACGAACGGAGCTTAATACAAGCCAGTTAGTGGAGGTGTCTGCAGGAGAAATTTTAAAAATAGAGGTTGTAGCAGGTGATAAAACGGCAACGGCTGTAACTGTTGTATATCGTCAACCGTCAATGAGGGTCGAGGATATTGTCCACAACCTAGAAAAGGTCTTAACCGAAGCCAAGTCGAAAAAGAGACATGTGATTATGGGAGACTTTAATATTGATATGATGAAAAAACACAAGGCAAGAGATGATCTTACTGAAATGTTCAGTTCTTTCGGTTATCATTTGTTGTCACCTCTGTTACCGACACGAGTAACTTCAAAAACAAACTCTTGTATCGATCATATTTGGGGAAATATTGGAATTAACAATAGTTGCATACACCGCTGGGGTCCAGCCGATCATTTCATGATTGAAGTTTCTATCTCTATGCCGAAATTGGTTAGTAGATATAAAGAAACATTTAGCTTTAGAAATATGAAAGTTTTCGAAAATGATGATACATGGTTAAGGTTTGCTTTCCTCTTACAGTCCAAACTGAAGGAAGTTGATGGTACCTTATCCGATTTGCATAAATCTGCTGAAAATTTCTCTGAAATAATTCTCAGTTGCATTGATAGATTTGCTCCCTCTCAAACTCGTTATGTGCCGAAAAATAACAAATCCTGGGTGACAAATGAAGTGAAAAAAGTAGCAAACAAAAAAGCATCCGCATACAGGACATATATACAAAACCCTACAGAAGATAACAAGATCAAATATAACTCATTACGAAACAAATCCAATGCCCTGAATCGGAAATCATTCAGAAGATTCTGGAGATCTAAGCTAAATACAACAGACTCTCATAAGTATCACAAAGCGGTTGCAGCATATCTTGGAAAACATAAAAATGTAACGTTGCCAGATGATATAAATGAAAAAAAAAGCTCAAGATATGAACAATTTTTTTGTAAATATTGGTCCAAATCTAAGTGATAAAATTGAAGTTGCAGATCCTATTTCATTAGAAAATGTTGATTATTCAATGTTCTTTCCGAGTATAAAGGAAACAGAAATAGAACAAATAATAACAGAATTACCAAATAAACTCAGCTCGGGTTGTGATTGCATCAATACAGCAATAGTCAAATTATGTAAACCAATAATCACGCCATGGCTCACGAACTTTTTCAATACCTGCTACACAAATGGGTGCTATCCAAAATACTTAAAAATTGCTAAAGTTTTTCCGATTCATAAAGGTGGATTGCAAGACGAATATGGAAATTATCGACCCATATCTTTGTTATCAACGCTGTCAAAAATCTTTGAGAAGACAATTCATATCAGATTAAGTAGTTATTTGGAAAATTGCAAGTTGCTCAGTACAAATCAATATGGTTTCCGTAGTAAATTAAGCACAGTTAAAGCGGTTCTAGATCTAACAGAAGAGGTTCGTAACCTGAGAGATCAGAAGAAAAAAGACGTTATGTTAGTTTTATTAGATCTGAAAAAAGCTTTTGACACTGTCAATCATGCGATCTTAATTGATAAATTAGATCGGTATGGAGTAAGAGGAAAGTCGCTGGAAATTCTAAGAAGTTACTTGTCTAATAGGAAACAGTATGTTGTCCTTAATCAATTTAAAAGCGAATTGAAAGATGTTTTGTGCGGGGTGCCACAGGGTTCAGTCTTAGGACCGTTGCTCTTTTTGATCTATATCAATGACCTTCCCAGAATTGTAAGAAATTGCCGACTTACTTTGTTTGCTGACGATACATCTGTTATTAAAAACAAAAACGCTTCCCTTGATGACTTTCAAGAAGATCTAAATCGAATAGATAATTGGATGAAGTTTAATAAACTTACCGTAGAAGGATCGAAGTCTAAGCTACTAATTTTTTCAAAATCCAAAGCTGATGCTATATATTTCGCAGACACTTGTCTACAACCCGTTGCTAGCTGCAAATACCTAGGCATTGAATTGGATAATAAACTATCCTTCAAAGATCATATTGAGACTATACGGAAAAAATTAACCCGCTTCTGCGGAGTTGCATACCGGCTTCGTAATGTGATGACCATTTCACAAATGGTCATGTACTACAAAACTTATGTACAACCTTGTGTTCAATATGGAGTTCTTGTTTATGGAGCAGTTTGCAAAAGTGCATTAGATGTTATTCATAAACTACAAAAACGATTTTTTCGTATAACTTTTCGCAAAAGTTATCGTGACTCGATAACGGAAATAATGGCCAAAAGCAAAATTGCTACTGTATACGAGTTACATGTATATGAAATTCTAAAGAAAATAGTTAATGAAGAATTGTCTCAGAAATGTGAAACTAATTTTTATTCAACGAGGTCATCAGTAAAGGGTGCTCGTATTTTACCATCAATGAAAAGTAAGCTTAAATATAACTCTGTTTCCCATCGTGTAGCCAAATTAATTAATATATTAGCCAATTGGTGTGTAACTATACCTTCCTCCTTTGAAACCCATCACTCAAAAAATGCTTTCTGTCATTCAATCTTAGATTCATATATAATAGGAAATTGCCATTTGATTGATGAATTATATCGCTAGACTTGAATTAATCCATTCTAACTTCCCTGAGTCCTCGGTTAGACCTGATAACCTCTCGTCGAAGGTACCAGGCAGTGGACTCTGGGAAGGGGGAGTTAGAAAAAAGCGAACAACTGGATTACCAGCTCTTAAGAACTGGGCCCACTTGCTCGCTAATTAAATAACAGTCATTATTTCGCATCCGCCCGCTGTCAGTTGTATACCCTTGTAAGTATAAGCTTGCATCATATCTCTGGTTCTCATGTTAAAGAATAAAGCTCTTGAATTAAAAAAAAAAAGAGTGATTGCACTATTTAAGTCTCGTTTTTTTTTTTCGCTTTAAATTTGCCTCTTTGACCTAAATTAATTATTGAACCTTTTGATCTGATGTCATATGATGTGATTCCTTTACGGGGCAACCTTCAACAAGCCTCTCGTTGGCTTTCTGGTTGTCCTATCATGAGTTATTTTTGAATTTTTGCTTATTGTGTTATGATAATTTGATTACTCATGATGAATATTTAAATAAATAAATAAATAAATAAGTTGGATTAAGCAATCAATTTTCAGCGTAGAAAAATAGGTCGATCTGTAGGCGACGTTAGAAAAAAATTACAAAAATTCGATGTTAATTGCTTTAAAAGCCGAAACTGGTATCGATTTTTAGGTGATGTCTTTGTGGAGTTTTCGGATTCAGTATTCATGATAACTTAATGTAATTTTTCTGATGTAATTTAGAATAATTTTTTGCGCTACGTATGTTTGATTTTCGCGGTTTCCGGGATATCAGATTTGGCTTTGTAATCATCTTGGGGCGCCAAAAATCTAGTGAAGATTAATTATCCATAAGAGAATAGACCAACATATGAGTTGTTCAGCTCTTCGCGGAGAACCGCTTTTGTCCCCATATTTAAGGTCTTTATGCAAGATCTACATGATTTTTGCTAGTTATCTGGGCTGATTAATGCTGCCTCACTTTCAAGGAAGGAGCACGGATTATGGTGGGCCTCTAACTTCCGAGGTTTCAATTGAGTGGCGGAGATGTAGCCACTTCATCACCGCTCCACATTTTAAGTCGTTTCTTGAGCAGTGCCTGCGTGATATTTGCAGTTTCTGTATTTAAATTTAGGTTTAGAAAAACGTTTGTTCCGGCACAGGTCAAGCATGACTTAAGTCGTTCCTCGAGCAATGCCTGCGTGTTATTTACTGTTTATCTATTCAAGTTAAAGTTTTAAAAAAAATTATGTTCCGGCGCTTATAACAAGGTCAAGCATGACTAAATCATTGTGAATTTAGCGAATTCGGTAGAAAAAAACATTGGGCTCAATGAATTATTTTGAGCCCAATCCTTGTTTTATTTAGCTTTGCCGAAATTTGAGTCAATGCTTAGGCGACGTCCGTGTGAAGTTCGCGGATTCGGGTAAAGTGATTGATCTGATTCTTAACCCGAGAAGTCTGGTTGAGTTCGTGGACGAGTTTAAACGAGGCGATAAAGTAGTGTGTGCTTTGACCTATGACAAAATGAAAAGTCAGCTGCCTGATAATTATCACATGGAAGGTCTACATCATCTCAGAATTAAACACATGTCGGTAAGTCAAACGTGAACTTGTTATGTTTCCTTTTTTGAATCGAATTTTGATTTTGCCCATACAAAAGCAAATTAGGACATCCTCAGTAAATAATTACTGGGTATCTTTCGAGTTCCATTGGCAATCCCAGTTCAAAACAATTTTTCGAAGAAAATTCTTACATCTATAACTTTTCATGGTTAAATTTATCTTTCACAAAAGTTGGCTTGAAAACAGTTTTTGTAATCAATAACGAAAAAATTATCTTGTTTACGAAAATTTGCTTTGAACTCAATTATTTGGAACTCAAACTAAACGTAGTAATTCTTAGCTGAGGTTTTTGTTCCGACTATTGAAAATTTGGAAAACCAATTTTTTGTTTTCCACCCAAAAACAGGTACCAAATATAATTATCGGACTGGGTTGAGTGATATATCATACTAAAGTCCTTTCAATTGTGATTCGAACGACATTTTAAAAATTTCAAAGAGTTGTCCAAATTTCGGGAAAAACTGGCTTGAAATGTTAGAGTTGCTTGAGATTTAGAAAAAATTCGAAACAAATGAAGTTTGTGAGACTAGAAACTGCGTGCTAACCAGTTGGAGTGATTTTCCTAAAAGCCTGTCGTTGCTGTTCGAAATCTAGCCAATCGTTCAAATATTTCCCAACTTGTGTTTTTTTAGCCCTAAGCCACAAAGGAAAAGTCGAACATGCGAGCTGTCCGGCTTTTTTATGGAAAGCCGCCTTCTAATTATGTACCACCGTATTTTTTTTGGGTTCATAATCGGCCGTGTCTCAAATCACCAACAATTCGACTGATGAAAGGCGTAGAGTTTTTAACAGCGACGTCAGGCATTCATCCCTAAACCGTTACTCCTGGTTCGTGCTTCGATAAAAGATAAAAGCTCCTCCTTAAGTTGTTCGTCAACTATTTAAAATGAAAATACTTTTGCTTAGATGGGTGTAGTGACAAGAGTGCACGGGAGCGGAGTGGAAGCAGTCATTTCTGTGGTGTACGGAATGAACATCGAGATCAAATTCATCGCCAAGAACATCCTCAAGATTCCCTCCGGCCCGGAGAGTTCAAAACCTGACGACGATTCAGACTCGGGGGACGACGTAAGAAAAGACGATTGCCTCGTTCAATTAAACGAAATTTTTCTGTGTTTGAACATGCTCTTAAAAAGAAACCAAATGTTGCTGTAAATTTTTCCATCAAATTTAATGATTTTTCACCCATTTCAAACCCACACCTATGTTATGTTTTTGATGCGCCGAAGTCTAAAAAGACCCCTGAACAACGTGCGTGTGAAATTGGTCGACAAGTCTCATCAAATATTATTCTGCGGTTTGACTTTTTCCTATTTAAGTTAAGTTCTTTTCCTTTGACAAAAGGAAGTCAAACTCCATATTGAAATTCAAGATGAACATCATTCGAGACAAAATTTGGAATTTTTAAAAATGATTTTTCAGCTTCTTGGCTATTGTTTCATTTTTTATCTACCAGCTAGCAATGCTATGTTTATATTGTATCCCAAGTAGTGCAAAGCTCGGCTTCGCGTCTGTTTCAAAAGTTTGGAGCATCCTAAATGGGTACCGTGATGGTTGTTTAAAATAATCTTGCAGTGAAACTAAGTATAGTTTGACTCAAGTTGTTTCCTTAAACAGTCTTTTTACGAGTTCTTTTTCCACCAAGCTTACTCGCATATTGAATAATATGCTAGCAAAAGGGCTCGTTTTCAGTGTCTGTGTTATTTATGTATTTTTGTCAGCATGTATTTTATTGTTCCGACTTTCAATACGAAAGTAACGGAATATTTGATCTCGGGGTGGGTTTTTTTTTTCTTCAGACAAATTTCGACTTTTTAACTAGCCATTTTTCACGGAATTTTTTTATATCATTCAAAAAGTATTGTTGTCCTGAGCTTAAATTTGAAAAGATATTTCACCTGTGATCATTTTTCGTAAAGTTATGAGGGTTTAAAGGTTGCCATTTTGACCAATTTGGGACAATTAACGCGCGATATAATTCGAGCTATTAACGCGTAAGCGGAGATTTAATCCGTCTTAGAAATCGTTCCAAATTGGTTGAACGAAGCTTATTCACCATAACTGATTTGTTACAAGGAAAGAAACTATCCTTTTGTACTTTATATGGCGTGTGGGGGGATGATTTTCATTGAAAAAATTTCAAATTTTAGAAAAAAAAATTTCATTTTATTTTCATTAAATTTTTTAAAGTTATTACTGCTCCATAAACCTTAAAAGGCAGTCGGAACATTCAGGGCTTCGCCCTGATACGAGCAGTCTTGACTTTTTTTGTTGGGGCAGCTTCGAGAATTAGTTGAGCAGTTACTTAACCTGCTACACAAGCTTTTGTTAGTTTAATTGCATTGGTAAACAACTTGCCTTAGTTCGTATTTGAACTCTTCGCTCCATTTGATAATTGAAATATAATGTAACAGCATTTATGATTTTTTAATTCCGATTTTCTAAAAACAAATGCTTTTTACATGCGCTGAAGTCTAAAAACCCAAAACAAAAAGTTATAGTGTTAAATTAAAGCGAAGCAAAGTGTTATAGTACGAACTTTCTTTTTTTTCCAACCTAAGTCGCAAATATTGTTGCGACTTTTGTTGCGACTTGATGCAACAATATTTGCTGCATCGAATTGGGCATCGTTGCACCTTTACAGCTTATTGATAACATGTGCTTTGACATTCGAATAATTTTAAGTTTACACAGTTGATGCATTTTTAATTCATCAAGTGAACCGAAGAAAGCTATTTGTTTCAAACAACATAACAATAATGAAATTTCGATTTTAGAAATTTTCTAATTCTATATATCTCGCAATTTTTTGAAATGCATAATTGTTACATAATGTTTTGCGACTTATTTCATGCAAAATTTTATCTTTTTGTATATAGTGCTACTTTTGCTGAATCGTTAGTGCGTGAGACTCAAAGCATCCGTGGCTGAATGGTTTGTGCGTGAGACTCAATTTGCTAGGTCGCAGATTTTTGCAAAATCGGTTTTTTGCGAAGCCTCGAGTTTTTGCAAACTCGAGGTTTATTTCTACTTTTTTTGTTAGAGCTGCTTTTTGGTCGTGTTCTTGCAAGTGTTTGCGAAGCGCAGCTTGGCCTCTGTGTAAATTGAATCTAAGTAATTTGTAACAGTTAACCTTTTGTTCTGTTTTCTGAAAATGTTGAGCAAAGTTTTAGAACATTGGAGAGGCGTTTTTCTTATTACGCATGTGATTGGCAAGCCTTCACATTTCATGTGATTTCAAATCTGAGTAAATATATTTTTAGGTGAACCACTAGTTTTACAAAATCACTTAATTTATTTGACGCTTCGGTTCAAAATAAATCATAATCAAGCCGTTAATCCGCATGTTAGCTGAGAGATAACGCACTTGCCTGCGAAGATCGAGTGACGTGGTTTGAATTCGGGCTGGATCTGATTGTCTGCTTTTCTTGGCATAGTTGCCCCCAAACAATAATTTTCCGCGAATGATTTCAGCATTTTAATATGATTGTTAATTATTTCAATGAGTTCCTGTTATGTGCAAATGAAGCGTTCCTAGATTTTTTGCTGATGTTTTTCGATATATATTTTTTTGAAATGAATGAGTAGTGTCTTCTCCATTTTTTTTATTTTTGATTTTTTTCTAGTTGCAATAATTTTTGAATGCCAGTGCTACGGCTTATCAAAATTGTTCCATTTTTTCCTTCTTCACAAACATTTCAATCGCCTGATCTGAGTTTGTCAAATCAATTTTTACGAAGCATAACTGTTGAAAAATGGCTAGATTATACCTACTTTTGTAATATTTTGTATTTTTTAAAAATGTATGTACGTTTTTTTTAGTTCACTGACTCTTTTCAACTGTCTGTTGGTTATGTTCTAAGTCTAGCAAACAAAAATCCTGTCGAGCTTCAAAAATACGAAGAATTTAGTCAAGATAGCTCTCGTAAAGTAAAAGTATATGTAGCCATTCGGTTTGAATGCATCATTTTTGATAACTGCTTCTAGATTTTGGCTTGTGAATTTTAAAAAATAAGTTACATTATTTTCAGTGCATTTAATGGTTTTTAAAAATTCCCGTCAAAGTTTCGGATCTCTTTAACTATTTCCACCTTTTGGTACCTAGTAACGAATTGCCACTCCTATAAAGAAATAACTCAACGGTTAAGCATATGCGCAATTTGTACCTGGTAACGAATCTCCCCTTTTTGCAAAAAAAAGGGATAGTTAAAGAGATCCGACATTTTTTTCGGGAAGTTTTTTTTATTAGTATTAGTGATATATTTAGGAGCATGACTACATTTTCCTCACTTCTCATCGCGAACTGAGTGTTGGAGATCAAGTTTGCACGAAGTTGAGCAAAGATAAGTTCATGGAATTTCAAAAAAAGAAGAAGCTAGACGAGGAAGATGCTCTATTTGAAGCTCTGGAAACATCGGGAGAAGTAGCAGGTAAATCAAGACTATCAGCGCAGTTTTTTTAAAGTATCTCGATAACTTGAGCGACGAAACAAAAAAAATCGAATCGAGCATATACTAGAATAAAAAAAGCGAGCACTATAATTCAATGGCATAGCAAGAAAGAGTTGGCAGTTGCTGTACAAGCAGCACAGAATATCCTGACCAAACTGATTTATGAAAAGAAGTTAAAAATCAACTAATCATTTAAAACAAAATTAAATAGAAAAAAAATAAAAATTTATTAAAATTTTTAAAAAATACAAGACGGAGCGGTAAAATTAAATGGATGAACGTTCAAATTGTGGTAGAATGGCTAAGCCTCTCATAAAATTTGGTATAATTTTGTCTGAAAAGTGTAACTAATTTAGATCAGCTATTCTGGACACTGATACAGACTTTACATTTTATTTCAAATTTTAATAATGACCAAAGGGCTTTAATATGATACCACCCATAAGAGAAAAAAGTATATAATAAATAACTTTGGGCCAAAAAAATAACTAAGAGAAAAAAAGTTTATAAGACAATTCTGTTTTTGTTCAAACAGCCAAAAACTTGTTTTCATATAATTTTTAAGATTAAATTGTTTTTTTTTCGGAACATTCTGTATACGTGCACCACTATTCTTGTGTCAAACTAAAATTTGATCAAGCCAATTTGCGTTAAATGTAAGCGAAACGAACATTGTTTTTTTTAGGATTTTCGACCAAAAATTTCGTATTGGTTGCAACTTCTGGCAAAGACGACACTGATGCAGATACTTACTGGAAAGTGTCCAGGAAGGTTCTAGAACATTCCCAGAATGACGCCTTCCAAATCGGCGATGTGGTCATGGTCGGCGAAGAACCAGCGAATGGTAGGAACCTTTTTGAATTAGATGATGTACGACAGTAACAAACCGCCAAAAAATCTTGGCGAGATACCTTGAAAGATTTTCCAAGTAAAAAAAAACTGGTTGGTATTTCAAGCTCAAGGACTAACTTTTATCAAAATTGTATGGTCTACTGGCTAAGTAAAACGCTGAACAGAAAAGAGATCATACGAGTCCTTTCACAGTTGAACTCCTTTTCGTTGTTTGATTGGTTGAATTCACAATTATCCCGGTATCAACGATACATATAATCAACATCCAATTGAACTCTTTAAAAGCAGTTGGAAATCTTTGTGATCTTATACTTTTAATATGAAAAACTGTTATAAAAAACATCATCTGTTATAGAGGGTTATATTGGGGTCCGCTTAAAAAGCCATGTTTGCTTTGTGCTTGGCAATGATTTTTGAGCATCTTTTAGCGCTGAGTTTGGTTTCCAGAAAAGGTTGATAAAAAGGTTTCAGGTCTGGTAATATCATTTTCTAAGTCCTTCTATAACAACAGGAAAAAATTTGCTCCCCTTTTTCTCCCATGTTATCTAAGCCTTGAGAAGGGACAGATATAGGGGAGCGGGAAGCACATCCCCTCCTCGCTCAGGGATTTGTCCCCCTGTTCACCCAAAAGGTTCCCTTCGGTACTATTTCAGAACATCCCCTATTTTTAACCCCAAAAGCCTTAAACTTTTAAGTGAAGAGTGCGAGCCTAAAAATCGAAATTTTTATGTTAAAATCTACAAATACCAAAAGCTGTCCTAAACAGATTTTTTGTCTCCAATAATTTGCATGCCCCATAGAAAATCTTAGCAAATTCAGGTTTTTGTTGTGTTTTAGGATCAATCATAAAATTAATTTATTTGGCCTGAGTTTTTTGAAAACCCCCATCGAAAAAATCCTAAATGCGCTCCAGCCATGCAGGGACATGGTGGATTTTTGTCGACTTGTCTTAAGAAATTTTTTTGTGTTCTCCCGGATAATATGCCGAAGCGAGTCGCTTTTTCTAAAATAGCAACAAAGGAAGGACTCTTTGGGCTTTTAGGGAGCCCAATTACTATCCAGAAAACGTCCACCAACCCCTAAATCCGCTCTGCACATTATTGGCAACATCTACCCTAAACTATCAATTAGACTTTTCAGACAGAGCTAACGGTGACGGCGCTCAACATGCAGACGCTTCTAAGAAGGCGGTAATTTTGTCCCAAGTGTCACCTGACAACCACAAACTTCTAGTTGCAATTGTGGGCGACGATGAAAACCACGAATGGACAGAAGTCAGTGTTTCGGTCGAGCAGCTTAAAAGGTTAGCATTATTCAGAGACATTTCATTTTGCTTGATTTTTTTCTCAGCTGATTATTCTACGCATAATTCTGTCAATGTGATATATTATAAGAAGCAAAAAGTTCAGACGGAAAAAATTAATTAAAATGAGTAATTGACCTTTTTGGAAAAAAATTTTTGCATGCAAAAGTAAAATGTTTAGACCAAATTTGAAACCTAAAAATTGCACGCAAAACTGCAGAGATTGCTCTTTTTTTACTAATTCTATCTGTTCGAACTTTTTGCAACTCTCTATTCTGCTTTTTAAATTTTTTTCAGCTATTATTCACAATTTCTGTATCTTGTTATTTCGACCATTGTAAATGGGTTGTAACTTTGTAATCGAATGTGTTTTAGTTTGTTTTATTCCGGCCATTGAAAATGGGGAGGAACTTTGTGTTCAGGTGTGTTTTATTTTTTCCTTTTTGTTTTTTTTCTTGCGCGCAAAATCAGGTACCACAAATAATAATCAGGTCGAATGATATATTATAATAAAGCTTTCAGTCGTGATTCGAACCACAATAAAAATTTCGAAACAAGTTTCTCAGCGTCGACAAAACACGTTTGAATTTTTTGATTTTTGAGAGAATGAAGTGAGCATGATCAGGCTTATTTTGTTTTTCAACCAAAAGCAGTTACCACGAATAATCATTGGAATGGATGGGATGATTTATCAGTTTTAAAGCCGTTTTAGCCTTGATTCGAACTAAATTAAACATTTTCAAAACGTTGTCCCAGTGTCGAGAAATACTGCTTCAAAATTTTCGAGTTTCTGTGCAATTTTGGGTGGTTAAAGCAAGCGAGCTGGCTTATTATAGAAGGATAAGCCGATCCCTGTTATCAACTCAGTTTCGTCCCTAAAATAAAAAAAATAAGAAAAATATTAATTTTTTTTGAAAAAACTTGATTTTTTTTTGCAGTTCCAGTTTTATGCAAGGTAGGATTTTCTCGAAAAGTGTGTGGGTGTTTGTGGGAGGAGGGGGCGGGGGGTGTGGGGGCGCTGGGATGGCGACAATGCCGTATTTGGGCACTTTTTGGAAAATTTTGTCCAAAAAAATTGCAATTGCGTTTTTCGGCGGGCTCCTTTTCAAAATTAGTGTATTTTGAAAATTTGTAGGGTTGGAAAAGTCTCAGAACAAACAATTTTAGGCTTGGTTGGCGGAAAATGGATGTCATATAGTAATTTTAAAGGGCGAACCTTTTGGTTGGTGAACTGACCGTTTAGTGAAGACCCCCCCCCCCCCCTTCCCCCCTAAATCCACCCCTGCATGTAATCATTAAAAAATGATGCAACCATCTGGATTGTTCGAACAGCAATATTCAGTGCTAAATTCAGTTCTGGATTTTACAATGCGTTTGCATTGACTTACAAACTAAAAATTACTATAATATACTTCTGGAAAAAAGTGTCGGTGGAAGTTAGGTTTTCAGCTTTCGAAGAATGTGTGCCGAATATGTGTGACCCAATAACTTTTTTGGGTCACAAAGTTTCGGTATGTTATTATTTCAGTATTTACTCAGTGTCTTTTAATGCGACAAAAATTAAAAAGCTCCTGATGCTCATAAAACAATTTTTTAACTGTTTTCATCTGCAAGAATCTTTCAGAAGTGGTTTGAGAGTTTGAAAGTTGGCAGGTTTTGCGTTGAAAGAAAAAAACTAAACAAACACTTTATCACCAAATTTGATGGTAATTGGAGAAAATTGGACAAAAATGCGGGTAGTTTTTAACAATGAGGCCCGAGTTGCTCTGTAAAAGCTGTTGCAGTTGTTGTGTTTTTTTCCTTCAGATATTCGGGTGCGCACCAACTAACTGTTGGAGACGAGGTCATTATATATGCACGCATGGATCTCGTAGAGAAACTTCAACTGAGAGCTGGTCTCAAATTTGAACCCGAAATTGAGAACTTATTCGGCAAAGTTGGATACGTTAATGACATCACTACCAGAGGTCAACTCAGCATCGTCTTTGAAGGTTGAAAACAGTTTCAATTTTCACACTTTTGCAACGAAAGTCGGTTAAGTTTAAGTTTACTCAGCTATGAATGTTGAATTTAGCACTGTTATCATGACAGAACGTCTTTAGTTGTTAAGTTTTTTTGTAAGTCTTGATTTTTCAGCTAGTATGGTTAAGCAATTATGAGGGCGTGTCGTTTAAAAATCCATAAAAATCATGAAGCACGGCCGAGATAATTTTCCAAAGGTGCAACGATGGTTTTTCCTGGTTCTTTTAAACTGTATCTTGATCTTTGGTGATGATTTCAGGTCGATCAGATCCAATCACTGTCAACACAAAACTTGTCCGAAAAGCTACGCCGACAATTTATTTCGGAGTCGGCGACAAGGTTAAGCTGATCCCGGATGAGTCCCGTCTTAGATCGAACCAGAAAAACCACGGCGAGTGGGTTGATCCGATCAAAGAGTCCATTGGTCTTGTCGGGTCGGTCTTTTACGTAATCAATAATCCGAGCACAGGTCGAGTCAAAGACGTAAAAGTGAAGTTTGCGAGCTCTGGTCGAGTTATTCCGGTGATTTTGAACACTCGAAGTCTGGTCGGCGTTTCAGAGGTGTTTGCAAGGGGTGATAAAATTGTGTGTGCTTTGACCTTCGATGATTTGAGCTCGGTGCTACCCGCGGATCATCAGATGAACGGTTTGATGCATCTGAGAAATAAACATATGCAGGTGAGCCAACTAATGCGTTATAAATTAATTTGCATTTTTCTCGAAGTGTGTTGTTCAAGTGATCTGAACGAAAAAAGAACATCCCTGTATTTTTTTAGGATATCATATTATAAATCTCTGGTGATTTTGTATGATATCTATCTAAATTGTTTCATAAATTCTAACTAAATAGATCCTAGTCCCAGTTATCTAGAATCTCAAGTTGGCTGAGGCTCTTTAATTTATCTTCTGTCGATTGATGGACCGTTTAATGGCCGACTGCCAAAAGAGAGCGAACTGAAAGTCTTTTTCTTCGAAAACAGACAGCAGGCAACTTTCTATAATGCTGTGTTTGACTGGGACTTGCTGAATTTCTTAGTCCCATTTCTTTTTCTGAGCGACAAATTTCACATCTGAATGACCAGCAAAATCTTCGCGTGTGTGCTCATTTTCGAGGAAATAGATCGTTATTTTGGTCGTTTGCTGTGTTTTGTCTTAATGGGACCCTCTATGGTTGTAGTTTGTCCGAGAAAACTTGATATAATAATATAGTTTTTGTTTCATTGTTGTGCGAGAATTTGAAAAAAGGAATATGAACTGATAATCGCGAGCAACTTTTAAGTTTCAGGCTCAAATTGTGACTGAGTCTTTCGAACAATTCGCTTAAATAAAAGACTCAGTTTGAGATCAAAATGTTAAACTCAAATAAGTTAACGCGTGTTTTTATCATTCCGATTCCAATTAACACGAAAAAATTTTATAATAATTTTGTTGCAAATTGGCTTAGGTTGGATTGGTAAAATGTAATTGTCATAGGCTAGAATGGTGTAGGGTAGATTGAAATAGGGTATTTTGTCCTGCTTCATTTTGTCATCTGAAATATATTTGTGGTAGGCATAGGTCTTGGTGGGCATCCGTATACATATCCGATTTCGGTCGAGAAAGTCGAAACATATATCGAGCACTGTCGAAACATAGTTTGAGCACAGTCCAAACATAGGTCGAGCACAGTCGAAATATAGGTCGACCACAGTCAAAACATTGGTCGAGCACAGTCTAAACAGAGCGAAGAGTCGAAAAACAGACCTAGAAATGCAATTTTTGTCGGAGCTCAAGGAGAGCATCCTTGTTGCGGAATCCGCCTACAAACCACAAAATACACAGTTTGTCCTCGTAATCAGCACATGAAAACAAAATTTTTTTTTGTTTATAACAAAACATGCTTATTATTTTTGGATTTTTTGGGTGATAAAATCTCAAGCTGGGCTACGTTATAAAAAAAGTACGTTATCACAAAAAGTCAAACTTGTTATGCATTTTTTTTTCATAAATTGTAAATCTAATTTTTTTTTGGCTTAGGCTGGCAAAGTAGTTAAAGTGAGAGGAATCGAAAATGACGCTTTGGTTACTGTACGATACCCGCCCGAAGGCATTGAAATCACTTACATAGCGAAATTCGTCCTTAAAGTTCCAGAATCAGAAGCATCCGGCCATCTGGGTTCTGGGTTTTCTAAACTTTTTTCCGGATTACCGCCAGACTTTACCTCGCTTATGGACCGATTCAGCGAAGAATTTGCTCGAGACTTGGCTGCTTCAGTCGAAAACCGAAGACAAACTAGTCGTTCATCGTCATCGTCGTCGTCAAGTGATTCTAAATCTGAAGACGAGAAACGAGATGAATCCAGTGTGACTACCGAAGGAGTTCCCGGAGACCAAGCGGGAACTTTGACGGCGACAGCATCTAACGACTCGGAAGCCTTAAGTATGATTTTATAATTTTGAACCAATTCTTATTGCCAAGCGCATAAGCGATACATCCACAAAATTATAACTTTGGTTTTTTCCCGTCTTTTTTAGCAGAAAAATGGCTCTAGTTGTTCCCTGAAAGAAACTTTTCGTCATTTTTAGCAGTAGCTGAAGAAGAGCCTAAACAATCTTCTGATGCATCTATGGCCCCACCTATAGCCAACAGGGCCATAAGCATGACCCCTAAAACGGTCTCGTGTGTGCTGTGTTACAACTCAGACTCGCTTGTTGCTCTGAAATGTGGACACGTTTTGTGTGAGAATTGTGCGAATGAGTTGCTGACCAATCAGAATTTGACTGGATACCGCAAATGTCCGATGGACAGAAAAAAATTCAGAAAGTTCATCAAATTGTTTCTATAAGTAAAGATTGAAAACTGAGATTATTCTCAACAAATATGACGAATTGCTAACTTTTATATATATATAGCAGCTTGTGTACATAAATGAAATTAATTAAAATAATCAAAAATATCGTTTGTCGCATCTTCAAGCTTAGTCCACGAAAGCCCTCCAATCAATGTAAGTTGATTATTAGCTTGCCTGAATTCAATTTAAGTTGATTTGGAAGAGTTTAAAAAACCTTTTTCTGAAATCTGTAAAAATTGCTCATAGTTTTTGCATGGAATGAAATTTCGCATGGCCTGAAAAAAAAAACACAAATTTGAAACCATATTTTGCCGTGATATGCTTATGATATCTGATTTGTTTTATTGCATTTGGTTTTCTATAATATTTATTATGTGGAAGAAAGTGACGAAAAATTTCTGCGCGGTGGGCTTTTGGACAAACTTTGACCTCTGATTATAGTAGGAACTTAGGCAATTTTTGAAGGATGTTCTAAACGTTCCAGAAAAGCTGAGAACTTGCTCTGAAAAGTTAACGAATAATTTTTTTTTCAACAAATTTCTTCTAAGGTTTTTGGGGATTTGAAATTGCTATTTTTATACTAAAATGAAGATAAATGATGCTCGCGAAATCACCCTTTCCCAAACTTTCGTATACACGCAAATTATTTTTACTCAGATAAAACTCCACTTATTAATAAAAGAAGCTAAGTTTGTGGGTTATAAGACGCAGAACTTCAGCAAGCTTCTGAGCATAGTGTTGAGAGTTATGATAAGGTTGTTGTTGAGGTCATGTCAGAATTGAAAACCTAACCGAATAACGAATCTTTTCAGAAAATATCTTTCATTTGAAATGACTTATCAACACTTATCATGCTTCTTAGTAAGTTGCAAGAAAGACTAGAAAACTTTGAACGCCCAATGCCCAATGTCGAAATTGCAAACAAAAATTTTCAGAGAATAAGCAGAGAATTTCTAATAACCGAATTAGCCCATACAAAATAGAATAGCCATCCAGATAAGGTGCTTCCCAGAACAACTAAAACAAGGTAAGTATGTCCAAGCTAACCCTTACCTAACAATAACCTGGAAACCAGATTTGAGCATCCTAAAAATCTTGCCTATTTCAGATCTTGTCCAGACATGGAGCATGAAAATTAGTTCAAAAATTTTAAAAAAATCAATGCTTATTCAGGGTACTTAATCGAAAAAAGGTTAAGTCAGAAGTAGTAAGTAGTTAAAATAGTTAAAATAAATTGATTAACACTGGGCATATTTATTTCTGTACGGGAAGATACATCTAGAAGATACGAATTTAAAGTAGACAAGAAATTATCTTAATACAAAAACACAGTATCTAGCACCAGGCGCAATACGTACGGTTAAACCTCAAAATTAAACTTCAAAATACTTTATCTGATAACAAAGCCTTACATTCGCATAAAGGATCAAAAATGTTGTCTTTTGTTTATCGAATTCAAATAAAGCATTTAGCCAGAACAACTATCAGGAATCGAATTGAAGGTTGACAAAAGAGACAGATTTTTTAAACAAATTTCTCTCAAATCTGGCAAAACATTTTGCTTTTTATAGTTAAAAAAGGCAGAAATTTTAGCTATTTGTTTACAGAAAAATTTAAGCACTTAAGAATCTTGATACTGAACAAAAAATATCCTCGAAGAATATGCTTTATATCAACTGGGGCATGACGGGGTAAGAGACATAGGCAGTAGAAGGGCAAACGGTGGCGGGGGGTATTAACAGAAAGGGTGTATTCCGCCTCCAGTAATGAAAAATTGAGTAATTGATTGACATAAAAAAGTAACGAAAAAATCAATTTTGGAGCGTTTTTTTTGGAGAATGTCGACTAAAAGAGAGTAAGTAGACCCCTAATCACGCTTCGTCGTAAATTACATGAAAATTTGGAACGCCGAAACGCTGGAAAAAAAAGTTCAGTACAACCAGCAGGCAGTTCCTAATAAGCGAATTAGCCCATACAAACCTAGAGAGCCATCCAGACAAATTGGTCCCCAATTCAGTATTTTTATCAACTACCATCTCAGTATTTATATCTTGCGTGAGCAAGCTCAGTTATATTTACAAGTCACGAACTTAATTGAGACGAGAATTTAGTTTGTTTAAAACAAAGACACAGTATCTAGCACCAAGCACAATACCTACGTTTAAAACTCAGCCTCAAAATTAAAACTTCAGATAAAAAAGCCTTACAACCGCGCAAAGCATGAAAACTGTTGACTTTAAGTAACTTCAGATAAAAAAAACTGAGCCAGAAAAACTTTTTGGGATCGAAATGAAGTTGAATTTCTCTATAAATTATGTGCCAAAAAGTTTTGCTTTCTTAGAAGAGCTTCAGGTAAACGTTTGTGAGCTTTTCCAAAAGCTTCTGTCATTGGCATTTCTGCCGGTAGAAGACGTCATTGCTGCGTTTTAACTTCCTCAAGGTATTGCATCCGAAGAAAATTAACCGATTTCGAGGTCACGTATATTGAAAGACTGAATTCTGAGCGACAACCTAAGCCCAGATTTGACATAGAAAAATTGAGTTTCCGTCAAAGATTTAAAAATGACCTTTTTTTTGCATCAACAACGCTGCATTTCGTGAAAGTAGTCAACAGCAACCCTCCTTTTCCAAAATTCTTCGAAATGATCAATGACGAACAAAAGAATGCGAAGATTGTATCAGAAAAATTGTGCGCAGGACGAAAGTAGTCAGACCCAAAAAGATAAAATACCAAAACTCGACCCATTACGAGGCTAAACTTTGCACTAGATAAGCACACAGTTTGATGTCTGTATGTTCCTGGATTTCACAGACGATTCTTCAAGCATGTTACAAAAAGTCGGTGGATTTCACTCACAAAATTTCCCCGAATTATGCGTACAAATATATGTAACGTAAGCTTTGTGGGCTTTTTTTGTCTTTTTGCGGATTCCGCAACAAGCGAACATAGCCAGTTGTTTTGATTCCACAGCTGTATGCGGGCTTTGTAAAGAAAAAGTAAGTGGATTGTGCAAATGAAAGCGGACTTGACAATTTTAAGTTGAGAGTGTTTTTTTGTTATGCTGAATTGAACCATTCCTTGTTTGATTAATTAAGAGCTTCAGTTACAATTTTTATCCAGCAAAATCTGAAAAGAAAGGGCATAATTACTGTTAGTAGAATCCAAAATCAAATCCCAATTCAGTTTTCAACTAAAATTGTCGATGAACTCCTTTGGTGTTTGGAAAAAAATGAAATTTTTGACTAAATCAGCATTATAACCAATGAAATATTTCACCTCAAAATTTTTATTTCTTTCAGTATTTGAGATTGGAAAAGTGTTGACTCTTTCAGTGGTTGATCGAAAAAATGATTGTTGACAGTAAATGAGATTGAACAGTTGGACAGTCTTGCTGATGACCCACAAAAAGAGATTTAATTAAAAAATGTAATTCACCGACGTAACTTTATATGTTACTGAAATCCGCAAACAAAATGCAAATTCTGCAGACAATTTGTGGATTTTGCTTGCAATATGAAGATTCCGCTTAAATTTGCGGATTCCGCGACAGCTCAGTTTCACTATACATATAGTTCAATATTTTTTTGTTCATTCCTCAAACTGTTCCGGATTCCGCAAATACTGTTGCGGGTTCCTCAAACTCGCCTAATATAGGAGCGATTTGACCAGCACACGGTTCTAACTATTTGTTTGTGGAATCCAATACAGTAGAGAAGATCAAAAAAGTAGCAGTGCTGCAGATTCTGCAACAAAGCTAAATTTGGTGTGTGGTTAAAACCGTTACAATACACAAAAAGCACAGTTTGGCCTCGTAATTCAAAAACCTATTGGCTATAATTAGATCATATCAACCAAACGATATTTTTGGGGTTCTTAGGGGATGATATTATAATATTAAATTATAAAGATTACTTTTTCTTTTTTAAGTTTTTCAATTCTGAAATTTATTCAACATAAAAAATTCCCTTCATTTTTCCAAAATTGAGCTAGAGTTGATTTGAACCTGCAAATAATTGAATACATGAAAGGTGTTGATTTTCATAATCCCTTCGGCTAACTTCGTAAGTTTGACCCCATTTTTTGTACCCTAGATACACCCATATCATATTTTCTCAAAATTCATTTTTGTTTGGAAAATAAGAATTTTTTATGCCCATGAAGATTCGATCATGTGATTTCAGGGCACTGATTTGAGCGCATTAACCACTATACCATGATTAGCGGTTAATTAGTGATTAGTGATTTTGTTCTTATTCCTCGTTAGGTTTTTGGTGTTTGATGTTTTATTACTCTCATGTTTGATGTTTTCAAGCGTAAATCAATTCTGCCGGCGCCAAAAGATCAAGATTAAAAAAATAAAAATGATGTTAGGACTGTTCTGTATGAGACTGAGACTGTTTTTAGAATTAATTTGATATTTCAGACTGCTTTGCTTAGGACTGTTTTTTATAGGACTCTTGCGTGTATGCACAAGTAGATGCCTGAGTCAAGCTGCGGGAAATTTTTACTTTAGAAAAAAGGACACTTCGCCAGTGTTTTCTCAGCTTCATATGGCCATCAAGCGATTCTTGCGACTTACATACCAATTAATTAGTTCTTTTTTTAATTATGCGACCTTTGTTTTTTACCCAGCCTGATTTTCCAGAACGTAGCAGATGTTTAAGTTGCAGCATTGAATGCAACGTTAAAATTAAAAAACAAACCTGCAACGGTCTGCTGCATCCCAAAAAGGGATTGAAATTATTGCCGCAATACAATTTTCCTGGGTACCACATTTCAATAATTATATGTTTTTCAATTACAAACTAAATTTTTCGCAAAATGCTAGAAGACATTGAACATAGTTGTAAATAATTAGATAATTTGTCTGCGAACCACAACTTAATTATTAAATTATTTTGCAAATAGTAAACTTGTTTTGCAAAATGGTAGACAATTTTCTTGGGCAGCACATCTCAATAAATTTCTTTTTGCAAAACACTAGATGATTTTCCTGGGCAGCACGTCGCAGTCATTGAATTATTTGGCATTTAATAGAAATTTTTTTCAAAACGCCAGATGATTTTCCTGGGCAACACATCCCAATGACGGATTTTTTTGCAGTTAATAATACTATTTTGCAAAGAGCTTCATGACTTTGCGAAACGCTAGATGAATTTGCTGGGCCGCTCATCTCAATACAAAAAATAGTTTGCAAGTAGCAAAATTATTATGCAAAACGCTAGTTGTTCTTCCTGGGCAGCACATCTCAATAATTCAATTGTCCTGAAATTAATCCGATTTTTTAGCAGAACACTAATTATTGAGATGTGTTGTCTAGAAAAATTATATAGAGTTTTGCAAAACATTTTTACTTATTGCAAACTAGGTTAAATATTGCGATGTTTTGCCCACGTAAAATTATCTAGCGCTTCCAAAAAAGTTTTTGTAATTACAAATTAATTTAATTTTTGAGATACGCTTCCCAGAAAAATTGTATAGTGTTTTGCATTTAGAAAAAAAAACTATTTTGCAAAACGCTAAATGATTTTCTTGATCAGCAAATCTCAATATTCAATGTGTTTTGCAGCTATTAAATTTTTTTGCAAAACGCTAGGTGATTTTCCTGGGCAGCACATCTGAATAGTTAATTTATTTTGCAAATATAAAAAATATTTTGCCCAGCTGTAGATGATGTTCCTGGGCAGCACTTCTCAATAATCAAACAATTCTGCAATTAAAAAAATTACGTTGCAACGCTAAATGATTTTCCTGGGCAGCACATTTCAATAATTATCACCGATCTTCGAATTTTCTTTTTGATGTACACTGGACAGAAATAAAACAGCTCTTTTTCACTTCAATTTTTGTTGTTTTGATGATTAATTCATACTTCGTGTCAAATTGAAACCGTTTTACGACCTACAAAAGTTTTAAAAAAGGGAGCACGAAACTTGCAACTTGATATTTAGTCAAGCACGGCTGAACGATTGGTGTTGTTTCAACTTCAATTTGCGGAATTTTTGCTTTAAGCATTGCAGAAGCAAAAGCTGTTACAAAATTGTCTGTTAAAATTGATTTTGCGAACAAATCTCCAAATATAAAAGAAAGAAAAGAGTGAGCAACTGCTGCGCAATAAAAATGAAAAAGGTTTAGTTTTTTTTTGGATTGTTGCTGTTTGATAAGACCTAGTGAAAATCAGACAAAACCTGTTTAAGCAACAAAAATGATTTAACTTCAAGCTTACTTAAATTTACTGAAAAAGACAATTAAGGTTGGAATCCAAATGTTTTCTGTTTCATTTGTGATATTGTGCGAAAACAATTCCACCAAACAAACAAAGTTAAATCATAAAAAATCATCAATGAATGCAACCGATCTACTACTGTTAAAGAGGTCCTTTTTTGTTTTAAAGATGAAAACATTAACGCCTAAAGCGATAGAAAAATTTCCGAGTCCTAGTCCGGCGCCTCAAAAATTTATGAAAATTGATAAGCATCAATTCTAAATTCGAAAAACATCACGTCAGAGAAATGCGTCTGTGCTCATGCAAAACTAACTTGAATTTTCACCTACAATGACCCGGTAATAAAACCAGCAAAAGATTGTTTTCCTAAATTATTTGTCATTTGTTTTTTTTTTCTATCTGAAAAACAGCAAATCCACAGTAGCAATTTTGCAAAAGGAAAAATTGACTTGACGGAATTTTTAGAAAAAAAATCAACAAGAAAAAATTTTGACCAAAAGATTGCGTTTCGTGGGCATGACAGACTAAAAACTACATCATTGCATCCAACAAATTGTAGCTTTTTGGGCACGATTGTGAGTAATATAAATTTTTGATCGACAATAGTTGGTAAAATTGAAACAATTCAAAATGATTTGGTCGCAGCCAAGAAGGCGTTTGCGCCAGAATGTAAAATTTATCATATGTAACGTTTTTGTTAAGGAGACCAAATTAATGACAATAATTGATCGATTATGGGTATTACAACGTTTAGCTTCCAAATATAGTATATGCTATACCAAAAAACGGCAAGTAATTAAAGGAATTGTTCCGTTTGATGAAGCTAGGCTCCATCCTAAGAAAATAAGGACTGATTTACGTTGCAAGGATATCAACTGAGGAATCAGAAGACTATGTTTGAACAGTAACAAATTTTCTTCGCGCTTTAAAACTATATCGATCGTATTGGCAGGGCTTTCACAGTAATCATAACCAGTAAAAAGGAAATCAAACTTTTGTTCCTCATTTGTTTCTCAATTTCATATGCCAGAAAGCAGAGAACACCAAACACATAATGAAAAAACTTTTAGGTTTAAATTTTTGATGACACGTTTTATTTTCACCAAAAAAACTCTTTTTCGTATTGCAATAATAAGGTCCCTAAAATTGTAACATAAAATGTTCGTATCGTGTTTCGAAGATTTTTTCCATGTTTTTGGAAGGTCATCGAAGCCCCATAGGCATCTTACATATTGTGTTGTTCCATGTGTGCCCAGCTGACTTCCAAATACCAAAACTTGCTTATCGTACAGTTTCATACAAAAAAAATGTTTATCATACAATTCAATACAAATATGTAGAAAAATTGCTTTTCATACCGTTTTCAGACGAGAAAGTCGCGTGATAAGCGTTTTCTTAACGGTTTTTAAAAACTCCAAGGTAAAAACGCGGAGATTATTTTGATTTTCAAATGCAAAATCGCTTCTATGGTCAAAAACACCATTTCCAAGGGAAATTGCGTGCAAAGTCTATAGCGTAGTCCAGGTTGAAAGTTTTTTACAAATGAAAAAAAGTTACTGCGGTTTTTTGTGAAACGCAAAATTTTTGATTTCATGTTCTCATATTGTAAGATAATTTAATATCTTCAGTTAAAAAAGCCACAATTTTTTTTCGACCACAAAAATGAGTAAAAATTTTCTAAACATATACAAAAGTAGTTCATTTATAAATCTGCTTGATATTTATTGCTTTAACATTTTTGGCGAAACTTCAATTGCTGAGATTCTTGCCACTTAACATATGCGATTTCCTGGAAAAGTGAAAACCTAGGGTATTGTGTTTTCCGTCAAAACACCAAGCCGAAGCAAAGTTTGATTTTTCTGTCATAGAAGGATGCTGTTATGGAAGAATCACATCTGAAAAAAGCTTGTCATACAGCACAGAATGTTTAGATCATAGCCTTTAGATCATAGAATGTTTAGATCATAGCAACTAGCACAGAATGTTTAGATCATAGCCTTTAAAGAACTACACATTTTTGTTTTCAAATTAGTGTAATTTTTTCTGCGTGGTGTAATAAAAGGATCTGACGTGAGAAAATAATTTAGGCATATTTGATAGTAATATAGGCTAATTGAACAAAAGAATTTCAGAAAAACGGCTAGAAAAACAAAAAAAAATAAAAAAGGTTCATTTTTTTGCAGAAAGTTTCAGATTTTTCAAAATGTATTTGGTTCTTTAAATGGCGCTGTTTTCATAAATTTGTTTTCATAAATAAAAATTGTATGACAAATATTTTTAATCAACTCGGGTAGTCTTCTGAACGCCTTGGTGCATTGGTCTTTTATGTCAGTTGATATACGACTACTACTTTTTAAGTATTTAGTTTAATTTGTGCCGTTCGAAGATCAATGGTTTGTCTGAGCTGCCAGGCATCATTCAGTGATTGATATGATGAAAATGATTGAAAGTTTATGTTTTTATCTGCATATCTTCATAAACAATGTGGCATCAGTTGCAGAGTTATGAGCTTCATTTACTGGCAAATCAAATATGATTTTTCGACTTGACTAAATTAATTCAATAACATTGATTCAGCGTGCTTTTTATCAACTCATAATAACTGGTAATCTTTCTTAGCTTCAGTTTGTAGATACAGTTCTTTTAATTAGCCATCTACGAAAATGAAACCTTCAAAAAGGTAAGAAAACATAACACAGTACAATAAACTTTAAAAAATCAGTTCCATTTGATTTTGGCAAATGTTAAATCTATTTCTTGTATATAAATTTTCCCTTGTTAACTGATCTTTCATCTCTTCTATAAAAATGGACTTTACCATCCCTGAATCTCAAGATATCTATATCTATTTTATCTATTATATCTATACACGACAGAAAATATCTATTGGACAAGCTTCGGATACTTCATGGATGAATTTGCAAAGTTCCTAGAATATTTAATCTGCTTTTGAGATGCTTTTGTTTTGAGCTTTAGTGAGAAAAACTATGAACTCAAATGAACTAATGGCTACAAACACATTATTTAGCTGACAAGAATGGTGCACCAATCGTAAGGCTGAACAAAGGTTAAACCCCTTTTGACATGTTTGAATTGCAGATTCAACCAAATCAAAGAGTTCCACCTGTCAAACGGGACTCTGTTTGCGGACGGGGAGTTCCCCGCCGCCGGGACCTCGATAGACCTCAAGGATCCCGAGGAGTGGGGTAATGAGAAGGGTGTGACGTGGATGCGACCCAAGGAACTCTTCGCCAAACCGGCGATGTTTATCGGAGGCGCCGAGAGCGGTGATGTTGTGGCTGGCGAATGCGGTAAATTATTGATACCTAAAAGTTCGGACAGAAAAAACTCGGACAGAGAAATAGCTATCATTAAACTAAAAAGAACACCGCTTTTCGACCAACTATATTGCTCAATGACACCGAAATGAAATTCGTCTAATCAACTATCGTCTCGTCTGTGTAGTTTTTTACAGAGTTTTAAAGTTTCTCGGCAAAAATTGGTTGTCCAAAAAACAGCCACAAAGGATCGGAAATTTACCAAGTTATTGAAAAAAACCAATCAATTAACCCTAAAATTAACTAAATTAGCTTTTTTTCGATGAAAATAGAAAAAAAACCAATGCCGTCTGAAGATGATTGATGAACTTCAGATGCTTGAATGGCTACTTACAAATAAAACTGCTCGAATTTTCGCAACGAAAATTTGATGTTTTTATTTAATTATTTTTTGGTAGCTTCTAATATCATTCAATTTTGCAGTGAAATCAATAACTTTGCATTTATTGCGCCCAAATTCGGGGTTTTGTTTTGTTTTGTTTGAGCTTTTATTGTTTTTTTTGTCTTTTTTTATTGTGCAGGCAGCTCGAAAGTGGCAGCTGCTCTGTCCAGTCTCCCCGAAGACGAGGAGAGCTTCGCGAAAGTGTGTCCTCAGAATCAGGGCTTCAAGAAAGGATACTGCGGTGCATTCCGCTTCAACTTCTGGCAGTTCGGCCAGTGGGTCGAAGTCATAATCGACGACAGACTTCCAGTTAGGGACGGCAAACTCCTCTTCTGCAGGTCCGAAGCTATTATCTTTTCCTAATGTTTTCTCTGGGAAGAAGATAAGAACTAAAACGGATCAGGAAGAGGTATTGAATCCAGAAAAGGCAAAAGTTTTCTTTTTTTTTGTCCTAAATCGGGAAACTATAAATATGAAAAATTGACATTTTTTATTTTTCCGAAATCGCGGAAATCAAAAGCTTCCTCGCATAATATTATTTTCAATGCACGTGGCTTAAAAATGTAGCGGAGCTATATAAGCAAAAAAAAAATTTCAAGTTTTTTTTATCAAGTTGCTAAAGTATATTCAAATTCGATTTTTTCTGGTAATACTGGTGGTAAGAAATTTCCGAGGAACTTAAAAATTTAACAGCAAAATCTTGTCCTTTTTTTGAAAAATGAATGATTGTCAGGTCCAATGATGAGGGGGAAATGTGGCCTGCGCTAGTTGAAAAAGCATACGCCAAGTTATTTAACGGCTACATGTCTTTCAAGAAGGCCAGATTAGGCGAAGTTCTGATCGACCTCACAGGTGGAACTCTGGAAACTATTAAGCTGAAGAACACGCCAAAACAGTTGCACAAGCGAATAGGCAAAAGCATAGACTCCGGCAAACTTCTATCTTGCATTGTCAAACCTGACGGCGAGAATAAGGACGAAAACGTGCAGGGATTAGTGAAGGGTAGAGTTTATTCGGTCACTGGAACCGCCACGGTAGGAGATGGGGAATCTGGAATACCTCTAGTTAAACTGCGGAACCCAATGCATGATAAACTGGAATGGACCGGTGCCTGGAGCGATGATTCTCCCCTCTGGGAATCCGCTCCTGAGGGAACAAAGGAGAAACTAGGAACCCAGACTGCCAAAGACGATGGCGAGTTCTGGATGTCCTATGAAGACTTTTGCGCCCAGTTCACAAGACTGGCAATTTGTCATACAAAGGTTCCGGCAAAAAACAAGACGGAGTTTGACGGATCTTGGGTGGCTGGGCTATCAGCTGGAGGAAAAGAGGATCCGGAAGGATTGAACCCCCAGTACAGGATTGTAATTAAAGACGTGAACTCTGACGGAAAGTGCCGAATCACTGTTTCCCTGATGCTTAAAACTTCAAAAGCTTTCAAAAACAATCACATTGCCATCGGCTACAAAATTTACCCGATAAACGATGAAGCGGCAAATTACATGGAATTCGGATTCAAACTGTCGGCACAATATTTCAAGGACTTCAAGCCGATATTCACTTCGGCAGGCGGGAAACACCAGAAGATGCGGGAGGTTTGCGCGTCGACCAAAATACCAGGCGGCGAGTACGTTATTGTTCCCAGCACCGAGAAACCAGACATCAACGCTGACTTCTACTTGAGAGTAGTTATGAAATACCCTGCTAATCACAAACACAATGTAGAGTTGAAAATGCCACTTAGAATGAAAGGCGGAAGGGTCAAGCAGATGTCAAACTACGCCAACGAAGATAACGAAGAACTGCTGAAACTGAAGAAGAAGTTCGACAAAGTGGCGGGCGAAGATTGTGTCATTTCTGTTCAAGAATTGTGGGCTCTTATCAAAGTGATGAGCAAAGACATTAGCAGCGAAGAGGCGGAGGTTGAGCATTCGTTTGCTTTGATGGCGCTTTTCGACGTTGATGGGAGCGGACACTTGGATTTCCAGGAGTTCCTGAATCTAAACCGATTCTTCAAAAAATGCGTTAACATCTTCACAAAGAACTGCGCAGACAAAACTAGCAAAGATATGACATCTTTGGAGCTGGAAAAGGCTCTGTTTGCCTTGAAAATTAGCATCCCGAGAAAAATCCTGGGAATGGCAGTTACACGATACGGCGATGAGAAGAAACGGACTGTTTCGTTCATGGATTTTCTGCTGATAGTCTGCAAATTCAAGGTCATCATGGGCGCAAGTCAAGAGGATCCGTCAGGGGAAAAATTGGTGATGGCTGCTCTCATTATGTGAAATTAGAAATCAACCTCACCAAACTAGCACTTGGGTTTGTTCTCAATTTTTGTATATAAAAACGGTTTGTAAATAGTTTTGCACATTTTCCAGGATATACTTTATGAACTTTGTATTTAATTCGTGGCTAAGAATATAAATTTTTATTAACAGTTTTGAGTTTTTTTTGCAAGATCGAAATATTCAACAATCTTATTAAATACAGCAGCGGAAGTATTTGGGGGAGGGATTTTATTTTTATTTGATCCAATGGTCATCCAAAGATGACCCACTTTGGTCTTTTTTCCCGACCGATCCACTTTTGGCCGACCGACTCTAATAAACAGAAAATTTGAGGGTTGCGCACCAAAAAACGCAGTTTGTTGGTCAAAATTCTGAGCCAGTATTCAAAAATAAATAAAACGAGGGAGCCTGGTTATGGTGTCTGATAGTAGAACAGTTTGTCTGTTCCGGCCGTTTTTATCTTCAAATTTTCCAAAAGTTTTCGGGAAAACTTCTTTTTTGAGGTACTAAAATTTCTAAAAAAAGCCTAAGAAAGCTTAGTTTTCAGACAGTTCTTGTAAATGAAAAAAGAGCTTTTGAACAGTAGAACGCCTTATTCCTCAGCCCCAGGGCTCGACATTATGGCTATTAAAAGTCCTCTTTTTGGATAGTTTTATGATTTACATTTTTAATCAGACAGTCGACCGACCAACTCTTTAATTTCTAAAGGTGCATTTGAAGCCACTTATTACTACTTGGAGGGTGGTTTGAGGATGTGACTATTGGCGATTACTTTTGTCTTGCCAGATCAAAAAACGTTCAAATGAAGACATTCTGACCACCAGAAAAAAAAAACGCTTTGGAAACTCTATTTGAGTGAGTTCACAAAGACTTGTCAGTTTAGCTTAGTATAATCGGCTTGGGATGAAGAAGTTGCCAAAATTCCCTTATCTATGCGCAGTTTTTAGCTTTCATTATGTAGAAAATTTAATGTTAGGTTTAATTCTATTATTTTAGATTTCAAAAAATCAAAATTAATAATTTTCATTTTTTCAGATTTTTTTTAAATTGTGTAGAAACTTTGGTCAATAATGTTATTTAAGTTCAAAAGAATTTGATAAAGGGGAAATTCACAAAACACTTGATCAGCTAAATAAGATGATCACCAGCAGAACTTTTTCAGGGTTGTGGATAAGATCGTGCCTTAGTGCTCCCTGCTATAGACCAGCATATACGAGAGATTATCTGCGATGATCCTACATGAATCAGAGAACTTCCTATAAAATAAATCTTCACTTGAAAAAAATCTAAAGGCTTGTAAAACTATTTTCCAGCGAAAAATTGTTTCTCTTGAAGTCTTAAGACAATTAGAACCTGTCTTGAGAAAAAGCTATCTGCAAAAGTTTGCATGATTTTTAAACAAAATGCAACAATCTTGTGAACAATCTAGCAAAATTCTTGCCGTAACTTGCAAGATAACCCTTGTTGATTGATTGGTCAAAAATCTCCAAAATTGGCAAATCTCCAAACGCTGACAAACTTGAGATTGAATCGATTTCAATGAAATCGAGATTGAATTCGATTGCATAAAAATGGAACTAATGGATTTTCACAAGTGGAACCAGATCTAAACTAAATTTTATTATTGGATATTTTATCACTATAAAATATTTAAAACTAACCAATCATGATCCATCTAACTAACAACCCACTTATTTGTAATTTCAGCACCAGAGAGATTTGAATTTAACTTAAAACATAGTTGCCTCTCCAAGAACATAGTTACCTACTCGCAATAAACCAGTAAACTCTAGATCTATTGAGACCAATTGAGACTAGCAGATATAAGAGTAAGATTAAGATCGGTATTAGACTAAGAAGTTGCACGAATCTATCCGGCCGAAAATAAGATAGCGTGACGAGCAGACGGTGTGCCCGATCTGAAATTACTCTATGAGTTAAACCTAGAACATAACTCATCTGGTGCGACCCAAAAGTCTCGAACAAGAACTTAAAAAAAACAAATTAGCTAAGAACTAACAAAATAGATTAGAATTAGACAAAAACATTTTCAAAATGTTACACGACAATAATTTAATTGAAATGTCTCTACGACTCAATACATCAGAGCCACTATTCCGAACAATACGAGAATTTCCCGGTATTGGAAGAAGACCTCGGACAAGAGATGACATACGACTACGGAGAAACTTACCATTAAGTTTCATGGTCGTACGGCAAAAGCCAAAACAAACTTTTTTATTTAGAATTTTACTGGCAATGAGGTTAGGTTTTCATTTGCAAATATAGAAACTTTGAAGAAAAATCTTCAATGATCATTACAGGCGCTAAACTTATTATTGTACAAAAACGAATGATAAAAACATCTCTAGTCTTTCCCTCCAAACTGCAGTAAAATAAAAAAGATATCTGCAAAAAAATTTATTGAAAAAAAATAAACACTAGTTAGTATAAACACAAATTGTTAGTATAAATAAATCATCTCGTCATCTCCAGCTTCATCACCTAAACATAACAGCAAACTATAAAACCACTAACATCATCCAAAAATAAAGTTTTCAATCAATTAAACCTAAAATTATTTCTAAAGGTTTATCCTAATTTTTACTTTTATTTAACTTAAATTTATTTAAAATTAAAACAGATCATCAAGGCTTTCCTTGGATCTCAGTTAAACATTTAATTTAATCAATTTTTTATCATTAAATTTATATCCTGATCATCAAGGCTCATCCGTGTTTAACGACCTCAAACGTCGATTCATTACCCAACCTTTTCTCAGACCCAGGACTAATAGAAATTTTTCAAACAAACTAACCATTCTTTATGAACGTTTTCTTTTTTTTTAGTCTTCACATCACGATTATCTGCACATAAGAAAAAACAAATAAAAATACAAAACTCTTTTATAAATTATAATTTTTCCTTAACCAACAGCTCTAAATGATGCAGTAAAATTTCTTTCCCACAGTAGTAAAATATCCTATAAATTATAGTCCCTAATGTAGTAAAAATCAATACGATGAAAATCAATTAATAATTTCAACCCCCACTGTAGAATTGGTAATTCTAGCAAATTTTCGACTTAGAGTATTTTCTGCTTGTGTATCGTTACCTTGGTTTAAGTTTAGGTATTTCATTTCTCGTTATGAGGTCTAAATAGCTTAATCGGATGGCTGTTAGCTAAGGGTAAACAAAGTAGAAAGATTGAAAAGTGGACTTAAAGCTAAATAAAGTAGTAGAAACAAAATCGAAGAAAAATGCACTTTTACCCGGACATTTCCCCCTCTATCTCTGGCTGCGATTAAGAAAAGGGAAAACGGTTCATACCTGGAGGTAGCTAATTGCTATGGGATTGTACATGCACGGAATTATGTGCCTAGGGTAAATTGGGTCATGGGGGTACTACCGAGTATAAAAGCAAAACTTATCCCCGACCGTGTATTTTATCCTAACATGATAGGGAAAATATTAGTAAATTTGGTTCAAAATCGGGTTATGATTAGTTTATTGGGATCGTACGACTTTGTTGCTTGGGTCATGATTTGACACCGAAGTCATTTGGTATTTAAGTAAGTAGCGTATGGGCGGATTTAATTGATAAGAATCATACGACTTCGGTTACTTACCCGATGTACGATACCAACCGCAGGGGGATGTATTTACGAAACGTGAACAAGTCGATAAAAACCCCGGACTTGGAACCCGTCAGCTTTGACAGAGGGAGTAGGTAAAAAGGAAAACCATAGGGGGCGGTTGTGCTTAAGGGGATGACAACACCGATATGAAGTGGCGTGACTTAAACAAAAACGGAGCGCAAATAGAGATAAGAAGTGGAGGTTCGAGAGCGGAATTTAAAGGGAGAACGAGTTAACGAACGTAAAATTCAGTAGGTCCTAGTTGTGGTCGCTATCTGAACTCATCAGTTAATTGTTTCACAGCGAGTGAAGTAAGAACGCAAGTCGAAGTGCCTTGTGGAATATAAGTTAGAGAAGAAGCTAGCAAAAGTCAGAGAGCTTAATCGACGCGTGTACTGACCGAGTACGCAGAAGAAATTGTTAAGCGTGTACATATCGCAAACCATTCTGTTGTATATTAATAAATTATACTCTGGCCGAACTAGTAGGCCCTTTGTTTTTGGACTTATATGTATTGAACTCATTTGCAAAAAAGGAATTCGTTGTACGCGACTTCAAGCGAGATATAGCGAGCAAGAGCATCACTGACCAAGGGGGAGCAACAGAATACAGTAGAGGACAACTCACCACTAACATAACCCTTTCGGGATTGTCGTTAAAACCGAGCCTTCGTGCCCCCTGCTTTAGCACGGTAAAAGGGATAGCTTCGCAAGACCGTGTGTGGAAATCCTAAAGACGATATTGGCGCTCCTGGGTGGGCTTTGTTGCAAACAAACGAACAACCATCCCGTGAGCAAACACGATGATGAACGACGACGATAGAACTGCATTGGCAGAGGCTGCTATGGCGGCAGCGAATGCTTTGGACAGGCAGCAAGGAGTCTTTGGCTTTGGCACCATTCGCCCCGATCGGTTTCCCTCCAGTAGCTATCAGAACTGGGCCGACTGGAGGAAGCATTTGCCTGGGTTGCGGATGCTAACAGATGGGAAGATGAACAGGCTCGGATGGTGTTGCCTACGTGTCTGACAGGATGGGCTCTGGATGAATTTACCAGCATGCCAGCCCACTTCAGAGAGGAGGAAGACGGTTTCCCAGCGCCAACACTTGCACGGATGCTGGCCGAACTAGACCAGCGTATGATGCCCTTCCAAACTCAAGCAGCGGCTAGGGCGGAGTTCAAAAGTCTGATGCAAGGAGACAAGGAGGGCTTGAGGGAATTCTCTCGGCGAATCCGATCACTTGGAGATGTTGCTAATGGAAATGTGGGAGCTCAAGCTCGAGACGAAATGAACCGAGAACAGTTGATAGACGGGCTATTTGACGTGGACCTTCAAGACCTACTTCTGCGAGAAGATCTAGGAAGCCTAGCGCAAGCAGTTGCCCGCGCCCAAGCCTTGGATCGTGTGAATAAAACGTCCAGGGCCCGGAACCGGAGAAAGATGCACCTTGCGAGGGTTGTCGAAAATGTCCCAGAGCCGGGTGCTGAGGCTGGTCGGAGTGTAAGCGGACA